AAGTGGCGAAGGAGGTAGAACAGACACTTCTCAAAAGAAAGCATTTATGCAGCCAATAGACACATGAAACATGCATCATCACTGGCCATCAGAGAAATGCAAATCAAAACCACAATGAGATACCATCTCACACCAGTAGAATGGCGATCATTAAAAAAATCAGGAAACAAACAGTGCGGAGGAGGGAGTGGAGAAAGGAGAGAGACCCTTACACTTGTGGGACTGTAAACTAGTTCACATGTGGAAAACAGTGTGGCGATCCTCAAGGATCTAGAACTAGAAATACCATTACACAGCCACCCATACTGGTATATACCCAAAAGGTAATAAATCATGCTGCTATAAAGACACATGCACGTATGTTTATTGTGGACTATTCACAATTAGCAAAGACTTGGAATCAACCCAGAGTTCCATCATAGACAGACTGGATTAAGAAAATGTGGCACACTATACACCAGTGAATACTATGCAGCCATAAAAGGATGAATTCGTGTCCTTGTAGGGACATAAGATGCAGCTGAAACCATCATTCTCAGCAACTATGCAAGAACAGAAAACCAAACACCACAGGTTCTCACTCATAGTGGGAACTGAAACAATGAGATCACTTGGACACAGTAAGGGGAACATCACACACTGGGGCCTATTGTGGGGCGGGGGCGGGGGAGGATAGTATTAGAGACAGACACTAATGTAAATGACGAGTTAATGGGGGTGCAGCCAACCAACATGGACATGTATACATATGTAACAAACCTGCATGTGTGCACATGTACCCAGACTTAAAGTATAATAATAAAAAAAAAAAGAAAAAGAAAAGACAAGACAGTCTTAGAACAAAGACTCTCAATGCCTCAGCCTGTAAGATGTACAGAAACATGAGACTCATGAAGAATTGTCTACCAACACAATTCTACATATACAGGTTGAGTACTCCTTATTCAAAATACCTGGAACCAGAAGTGCTTCCGAATTTTTTTTTTTCTTTTTTGGAATATTGCATTATATTTACCTGTTGAGCATCCCAAATCTGACCATCCCAAATCCAAAATGCTCCAATGAACATTTCCTTTGATGGTCAGATTGATGCTCAAAATATTTTGAATTTTGGAGCATTTTGGATTTTCAATTTTTGGATTTGGGGTGCTCAACTTTTATACATGTTTATTATCCATCTTCCGCAAAGAATATTAAGCTCCCCGAGGGTAGAGATTTTGTCTTTGTTCAGTTCTTTGTCTCTAGTGCTTAGAGCAGTGCCTGGCACACAGTAAGTGCTCAGTAAATATTTGTTAAGTGAATGGATGAATATGAATTATTTCATCAATTTCCTAATAATATACTTAGGAATGATGAGAAAAATAACTTTGGTATGTCTATATTTCTAATAATATAGCTCACTGGTATTTTGATAGTATCTTTAATTATGTTCTGAAAGTAAGTTTCTATTTCAACACTGATCTTCATTTTATTGTCAGATTTGGAAAACATACACATTTTTTTAAGTACATGCAAAAGGAAATTTTAACCAAACATGCAGTGTATTTTGATATGGTTGGGGCCTTTGAAGCAAAGAACTGTGTATAGACATAGATCAGTAACAGAAGTGAATACCATAGCATATTGTGTTATGATGTGCCACATGGATTTAATTAGAATTTCAGCTGGGTTTTTTGTTTTGTTTTGTTTTTTGTTTTGTTTTGTTTTGTTTTTACTGTGGGTGTAAGTGGTTAGATTCAGTTTTGTCAAGTACACTATTTGGTTCATGCTACAAATTTTCCATTTGTTCTTTGAATTTACGTAATTCTCCCACTTGCATCAAGAATAAAAATATTTATCTTTTTAAATATTCATAGGTTGTATTATTTATGGTGTAATGGTGGGCAGTATCATAGATTAAGAGGAGTAAAGTTAGGAGATGAGCCCTGCCACCAATGAGCTGTATAAACTTGGACAAGTTCCTGCTTGTCTGTGCCACATTTCTCACTGAACTTTGAGGAGGTCAGAGTAGCTGTTTAATGTTCCAATTCTAGACCTCTATGGTTTTTGGATATTAATATAACTATCTTTTATTGTTACTCTGGTTTCAGGTGATGTCCTTGTTGCTGTGAATGATGTTGATGTTACTACTGAAAACATCGAGAGGGTTCTGTCTTGCATTCCTGGACCTATGCAGGTATGGACATTCTTTTTCTATATTTTATGATGTTACATAAAATAAATATATCCTGCACTATTTTCCTTTTTAAGCTTCTGAAAAGTATCACGTATAATGGATGAGTTACATTGGTAATTGGCTATTTAAGAAAATTTAGCTCTTGCTAATATTATTAGCTTTCGGAGATTATTCTAAAAAGAGAGAAAAATATCTGCAAATAAAATTCTACGTAAAGCAGTAACAGCAACAGTAATGAAAACATATATAATTATAAACTTCCCATTATAACTACCATATATGCTTGTGATAATCTAGTTCCTAGAATAGTCATTTTAAATAGTCATGGAGTTTTCTGTTCTCTGACTTACTAAGATCACTGTTGCCATAAAGTTTTTTTTCCAATGTGATTTTATTTTAAAAACAAATTTTACAAGTTTCTTGATTTTTTTTTTTTTTTTTGTCATTTAATTAAACTTTTCTCCTGGACTTTTGTTTGGCTACTTAACGAATTATTTTTCAATCCTTGTAGATAGAAATAAATTTATTGTATAAAAAGTCATTTTGATACCCTAAACATTGACATTGTGTATCGTAAATGACATTTTTCGGTTATTACGGTTATTTTGCAAGTGCTGTACCTTTTGGTAACAGAGTATACCATGAATATTCTGTTCTAGATAGCATCAGGAATTAGTGTTCTGTTTTTGGGGACATAGGGAAGATTATATGCTTTATATGGGTTACAGCAGGGGTCCCCAAACCCTGGGCCATGGACTGGTAGTGGTTCATGGCCTATTACGAACTGGACTCCATAGCAGGAAGTAAGCAGTGGGCAAGTGAGCAAAGCTTCATCTGTATTTACAGCTGCTCCCCATCGCTCACATTAGTGTCTGAGCTCCACCTCCTGTTAGATCAGCGGTGGCATTAGATTCTCCTAGGAGCACGAACCCTATTGTGAACTGTGCATGCAAGGAAGGGATCTAGGTTCTATGCTCCTTATGAGAATCTAATGCCTGTTGATTTGTCACTGTCTCCCATCACCCCCAGATGGGACCATCTAGTTGCAGGAAAACAAATTCAGCGTTCCCACTGATTCTACATTATGGTGAATTGTATAATTATTTCATTATATATTACAATGTATTATAATAATAATAGAAATAAAGTGCTATGTATTATCCCTGAGTGAGAGATCCCCTTTTCTTATGTTGGTTGCAGGTGTGCTTCCAGTATTACCAGAGTTCAATCATGTCTCTTCTTCTTCAAAAATATGAAAAGTTATGTTTACAGCAGAATCACATTATACTTATATTTAATTCACCTTTGCAAATTCAGCTGTGCACACTTAGCAGAAGAAAAAGGGAGAGAAAGAAATAAGGATTTAAATATTTTGGACCAGTTCCATCCACAATTAACCCATCCTTTTTAAACATGCAAGAGTAGTCAGGTATACATTTATTATATACTTTATTTCTATTATTATGAAATAATTATACAACTCACCATAATGTAGAATCAGTGGGAACCCTGAGCTTGTCTTCCTGCAACTAGATGGTCCTATCTGGGGGTGACAGGAGACAGTGACAGATTATCACGCATTAGATTATCATAAGGAGTGCACAGCCTAGATCCCCCACATGCACAGTTCCCAATAGGTTTTGTGCTGCTGGTAGAATCTAATGTCACCACTGATCTGACAGGAGGTAGAGCTCAGGTGGTAATGTGAATGATGGGAAGTGGCTGTAAATATGGATGAAGCTTCACTCACTGGCCACTCACCTCCTGCTATCCCCCCTGGTTCCTAATGGTTCTGATACCTGTCCGTGGCCTGAGGTTGACGCCTCCTGGTGTAAGAAGATGCCCTTATCCTTAGGAGAGACCTGCTAAAGTACTTAGGGACAATGTATTAAGATACCTGCAAATAATTTTCAAATGGCTCAGCCAAGAAACTTAAAAATATATAGAGAGAAGGGAGGAGTATGGAAGGAAAGGAAAGGAAGACCAGAGAGAAGAGACAAAATGAAGCAAATGTGACAAAATGTTAACAATAGTGCCATTAGATGTGGGATTATGGGCAATCATTGTACTCTTCTTACAACTTTTCTGTAGTTTCAAAATTTCTAAAATAAAATGTTGATTTAAAAAACAGGTTTTCAAAAATTTAAATAACAAGAACAAAGGTTCAAATACTCATCTAATTGCTGACTTTTGTGACTCTGATCCGTTTCTGCAGCTCTGTGCTCTCATTTATTTAACAGGTACATAATCATGCATGTAGTACATCATCTCCTCCCCTGTCTTTTTATCTGGGAGCTTGGGTCCAAATTTTGCAGAAGACCAAGACTGATTTCATTTAGCTCTGGGCCATAGCTGACTTTTTTAGAGCTTTGGAGGATCCTAACTGCTTTTCTAGGAGAAAAGCCTGAAGATTATTAGTCTTGGACTCTTCTCTCTCAGGTAGTTCTTAGGCCTGAAGGAGGGGGCAAAGGCTTCTTAAAGGAGATGATTCTTGAGTGGAATGTTTTAACTTTTATTATTTCCTTGTTACACAGAAATGATACATATACTGTGGAAAAATTAGAAAACAAACTAGTAAAATGTTTTAGATATTTGTAGATCTATTCTCAGAACCCAGAAGTAACCATTTATATCAACATTTTAACGTGCAGGACTTATATGCAAATCAGATTTGCATTTTAGGAATATTTCACTCTGGATCGGGGAAGCATATGCAAGACTGGAGGTCAGGAAACCAGGTGGTTGGTTTTGCAGTAGTCCAGAAGAGAGATGATAAAGGCCTGAGCAACATGCTGACCGGGGATGGAGGAGGAGATTAGATTTAAGATAGAGAGGAAGGAAAGAGGACAATACTGTCTACAGGATAGAGAGAAGTCCGAGAAGCCTTCCAAGTTTTGTCTTCAGTCACTCAGTGAGGTGGCCCAAGAAGAGAAGAGGATGGAGGAGAGATTATCTGCTAAGCCAGTCAGATTCGATTCCCTCAGAATTTTGACTAAGGAGTACTGAAAGCATCTGCCAGCTGTTAGCCAACAGGGAAAGGATGAGACATGCAGAGAGCAGTGTAGATGATGGGAGAGACAGTGCAGACTGAGGCAGAGGTGAGAGACTGGTCAGCTTCTGCAGCTGCTGGAAATTCTGACAGCCTCCCCAGGTCCCATCCGTAAAGAGGATGGTAGCTAAAGGGGAATCAGAGGATTTCTTTGTTTGGTAGATTTCTTTGTTTGGAAGAGACATTGCTTTTTAAATAGGATAGGCTAAAGACTGAAGTAGAAAGAAAAGACAAAGCGACAAGACTTTGGAAGTGATGAGTCATAGAGAGTGCTTCCTTGGGTCTGAGGAAAGGCTGGGCAAACTGCACAAAGAAGAGGGACATAGGACACGAAGGATCCTGAACCTTGACCAGGTTAAAGTCTCACCGAGTAATAAGAGAAAACCCTTTATAAGTATCATTTAGTAAACTAACTTACATTAAGTATCATTTAATAAAAGTTTTTCCCTATAAAACACATAATATCCCTAATATTTATGTATATCAACCTGTTTTTTAAAATAGCACTTAACTCTTAATTTGGTTATCTGTCTCACCCTTTACGATTTTATCAAGGCAACCAGATTTCCTGACATTTGTAGCTACTTAACATGTTAGTTTTTAAAAATGTCTTTTTAAAGTATAATTTTATTTGTATTATGAAGCCAACTTTACTTAAATCAGAAGAATGGTGGCTGAAATAGTTCCTTAAGGAATTTTAATGGATGGTTCGGTGGTGTGTGTTAGAGTTTTTGTCGTGGTGAGACAAAAAGATCCTTGCACCACAGAAAAGAAATGATGTTGTTTGCCAAGTATAACAGTAGTTTTCAAGTATGTTGTTTTTCACCAAGCATAGCAAACCAGTCGTAAATTTGAGGTTGTTGCTGCTGCCTGAAGAAAATTAGTGAATTTTTAAGTCTATTTTTGGTGGACTTAAAAATTTCCCTTTTTTATTTTTGGTAGATTGCACCCTATCTTTTGACCTCTCCACCCATAAGAATCTCAGCTGGGAAAGATGCCTTCCCTGTTCTGAGATGCGTTTCTTTCTCTGAGGACCCGCTTTCTTGTCACCACTGCTTATGCACAAGTCTCATAGACACTCCAGCTGCATCTCTGCGACACCTGCTGCCCTAGGATGTGACTCATCTTATGCTCCCTCTGATCTGATTTCTCCCCTTCCATACTGCTCACACATCTTCACTCAGAGCTCCTTCCTAAAGCTCAATGCCAGGGGACAATCTTCAGAGCCCCCATCTATCTGTCACAAAGTCTGTACTCAGGAATTCCCCAAAGAGTTCTCACATTTCCAGAGAATACCACCAAAGGCTCCCATATACTTTCTTTTGGGTACTTCTAAATCCTCATTCTAGATAAAGGAATTCGGGGTAGATACCCAGTAGTGGGGTGGCTGGATCTAATAATAGATCTGCTTTTAGTTCTTTTAGAAGTCTTCATACTGTTTTCCATAGAGGTTGTACTAATTTACATTCCCAACAGCAGGGCATAAGCGTTCCCTTTTCACCACGTCTGCTCCATCTATTGTTTTCTGACTTTTTAATAATGTCCATTCTGGTTGGGGTAAGGTGGTACCTCATTTTATTTTAACTTGCATTTCCCTGATGATTAGTCATGTTGAGCATTTTTTCATGTTTGTTGACCATTTGTATATCTTCTTTTGAGAAATGTCTATTCAAGTCATTTGCCCACTTTTTAATGGGATTACTTTTTTCTTGTTGATTTCTTTGAGTTCTTTAGAGATTCTGAATATTAGTTTTTTGTCAGATGCATAGTTTGCAACTATTTTCTCCCATCCTATAGGTTGTTTACTCTGTTGATTATTTCTTCTGCTGTGCAAAAGCTTTTTAGTTTAATTGGGTCCCATTTATTTATTTTCATTTTTGTTGCATTTGCTTTTGGAGTCTTAGTCGTAAATTCTTTGCCTATGCCAGTGTCCAAAGAGTACGTTTTCTTCTAGAATTGTTATGGTTTCAGGTCTTAGATTTAAGTCTTTAATCCATCTTAAGTTAATTTTTGTATACGGTGAGAGATAGAGTTTCATTCTTCTATGTGTGGCTATCCAATTTTGGTACTTCTTTGAAATGAACAAGTTATCTTTGACCAATTGGTATCTAGACAAATATTTCCTTTTCCAAGGATAGGTAATTTTAATACTTCATCCCTAAGTCCTTTGGCATGTATCTCCTAAGAATAAGGACATCCTCTTACACCAGGGGTCCCCAACCCCCAGGCCACGGACCAGTACCAGACCATTAGGTAATTGAGAAGTGGAGGCTACCTTTCCATACCTGTGGTAAATGGCCACATTCTGGACTCTTACCAGTCTTAACATCAGGCCATGAAATTAAAACTGTCTTCATAAAATTGATAATCTTCTTAGAGCCATGTTGGTCTAAGATCTAGCATATTGATAGCGTTTACTCTCCTTGGCCTTTGTTTTAAAGAACCAGAAAGAATGTCTAAGAGAAGAATATTTGAAATACCGCCTTATTTGAAAGGAGAGTTAACTCTGTTGTGTGAAGTCACTCTTAATGCTGAATCTCTTCCTTCTATCTTCCCAGATGAGCCAGTGCTGTCAGCATTCATATTGTGATGTTATTCTTTTTGTACTATCAGATCATACTAATTTCTGGTTTTTGATGGCCTTTCTTATTTTTATAGTCAACAATTTAGACTGCAATGATTATGTTTGATTAAATGAATTTTTATACAGAACATTATACATTCTTATTCAATAAATATTTGTGGTAATATGTATCAGACACTCTCCTAGGAGCTGAAGATACAAATATAAATAGAATATGCAGCCTCAGCCATCAGGAGCCCTCACTCTGGGATGATTTATACATACTGTACATACCTGGGTGTATGTGCATCGACAGATCCTTCATTGTGAAAATTGCAGCTGATTTTCCCTTGTTGAAAAATCAACACATTGTTTTAATTTTTAAAGGTGAAACTGACATTTGAAAATGCATATGCTGTGAAAAAGGAGACATCCCAACCAAGACAGAAAAAGACACAATCGAACACAAGTGATTTAGTCAAGCTTCTCTGGGGAGAAGAGGTTGAAGGTATCCAGCAGAGTAACCTAAACACTCCTCATATCATTATGTATCTCACATTACAGCTCGACTCAGAAACCTCAAAGGAAGAGGTGAGTGTCCTCAAAAGTCCAAAGGAAAAAGTAAGGACCTTTTATTGTATTCCCAGTGAATAGTGAGTATATTTGATTTAAGGAAGAGACAAAAATGAATTAACTATTGTTCTTTAAAATTGTGTATCTAATACTCTATTATAGATATGAATATTTCATACCACAAATGTTTTTAAAATGAAAACAAATTATTCAGTTATTTCTGTAGGAAAAGAAAAAAGAGGAAGGTATTGTTGCAGTATGTTTTAACTTAGAAGCTAAGGTCTTTTTAGCTCTTTTTGATATGTTTCATTGAAGTATTACTTATACATAATAAAATTCAACAATTTTAAGTATACAGTTTGATGAGTTTTGACAAATATATTATACTTTTGTAAGCAGTATCACAATCATGATATGGGACATTTTTGTCACCTCAAAAAATTTCCTCTGTGCCCTGTTACAGTCAATCCCCTCCTTCTGTTAATAGCTTTTAATGCAGGGGGATGTAGCATTAACTTTCTTACATAGGTTGTCGATAGTTTTTATATTTTACATGTTTTTAAAATTCATTTTCAATGTTTATTGAACACCTACTTTTTGTCTAGCATAATATCAGATATTGGGTATTTTTATTTGCAGGTAAAGGAAATAATCCTAGTAAAGATAAGTACAATGTTCAAGTTCACATAGCTAGTAACTGACAATTTCTATTTAAGCTGAAGTGTTTCCAAATTCTGTGCCCTTTCTTTAATACCAGGTTACCTTTCAACATCAATGTTTTGAGTCTGTTAATTGTTTTGTTCAAGTTTTATCTTTTATTGGTTTCTTGTCTGCTTTGCCTATTCATAATTAAGAAAGATATAGAAATCTCCCCCTCTGATGAGGATTTGTCCATTTTTCCCTCCAGTTCTAAATATTTATGCTTTATATATTTTGAGACAATTTTGTTATGTGCATTAATGTTTAGAATTATTAAATCTTCCTGGAGAACTGAACTTTTTGACCTCATGATATGATCCTCTCCACCCTAGTTTGTTTCTGTCTTATAGTCCTTTTTTAACATTAACATTTTAAAAATAATATTTAATATCATACAGCTTTATTTTATAAGTATTTGAATTTTTTTCTTTCTTTTTCTCAGTCCGTGTCTTTATGTATGTGACATGTCTTTTACACACAGCCTATTTCCAATCTGGCAGTCTCTCTCTTCTAACAAACTCAGTGGGTCCATTTATAGAGATTACTGATATATTTGAATTCATTTCTGCTACCTTATTTGAAAATTTCTACTGGAATTGCTTTTTCTGTGATATTTTTCTTATCTATTTTTGGTTGCTTGTGTCATTATTTTTGCTATATACTCTTTCTGTTTTTTAAATGATTACAGTTAAAATTTTCTGATATTTGTCTTAACGGATTCTAAAGTGAAACACTATTTTAACCCCTTTTCAAATAATTCAAACCCCTTAATACACCTTAGCTTCAGTTACCCTTCTCTTTACTTATGTGCTATTGTCATCAATATTTTAGTGCTATCTCTTTTCTCCATCATCTATAATTATAACTACTACTTATTATAACATTTTGTACACCATAAAATTTATAAATTAAGTATATATTATACAATATATAAATGATGTATTATAAAATGTATAAATATAATTATATATTATATATTTGTATGTGTTTTTAATACAAATATTATATATTTCATACAGCTTTACCTAGCTTAAATTTATAATTGTGCCTTATATTTTCTTTATTCATCATCCTCTTACATCGGAGACTGTCCTTATTGGATCATTATTTTCTTCCTAAAACATATATTTTAAACATGTCTTTTTAGTGAAAGTGTGTTGGTGATCAATTCTTTTTGTTGTTATTTATCTGATGATGGCTTCTTTTACCTCTTCTTGAAAGGTAGCTTGATAATTCTAGATTGTATTCATTTGGGTAGGCTACTTGCTATAACAAACAATCCTAATGTCTCAGTGGCTTAACATGATGAAAGTTTAGATCTCATTTCATTTAACTATTCCTGGTCATGTGGCTCAGTGACTTCAGCCTTTCTTCTAGTGTTCCTATTATTCCCAAGGGCTTAGGAGTCCTCTATTAGATCCTTTGCATCTAATTGACCAATGAGAGAAGAGAGAAGGCAGGCAGTATCACATGGGACATTTTGGAGACCTGACTTGAAAGAGGTAACATCATTTCTGCTCATGTTCCATTGGGTAGAATTAGTCACATGGTCTATCCATATGCAAGGAAGTAAGAAATGTAGCCTTCCTGTGTGGCCAGGAAGAAGATCAAGTGAATACGTAAGTTGCTTGTGCCACCTAGGTAGATAGTTATTTTCTCTAATCTATTTGAAGATAGTATCCCTTTGTCTTTTGACCTCCATTATTGCTCTTAAGAAGTCTACTGTCAGTCTGTCATTCCTTTGTAAGGAATGTGCCTTTTCTAGTGTTTGTTCAGCTTTTTACTTCTTCTGTGCCCCAACTGTTGTTTAATCTCTCCATTGTGTTTTGTATTTAAACAATTACATATTTATTTTTAGAAGTTTCTGAAAAGTGTTTAATCATCATTTCAAATCTGCCATGATATTCCTGGGGGTCTTTTGTTGCTTGCTCATCTTTGTAACTCTAAACTTGTAGACTCTATATTCTGTATCTGCCCATTCTACAAGCTCTAGTCCTGAGAGGATTCTCACGTGTCACAAGGTTTTCACTTGCAATGGCTTGCCTTCTTATGTCCTTAGGGATCTTTGACTAAACTTATTGCTTGATGTTATCTTTGGGAGTCTTGTCGTTCTAATGAGGGGATGCTGTCCTCCAGAGATAATTTGTTTCTTCTGCTTTTGCCACTGACCTAGGATATTTCAGTCTTACTTGAGGGTATGGTCTTAACAAAGTGGTTCTAGGCTCAGCTCACCTACCTTGTTCCTAGCCCAGTACTCAGTGTCCTGACGGAAGCTGTCATGGGAATCAGCCCTCAGGACAGGCCTGCTTCTGTCCTTCTGCCTACCACTCAACACTCCCAGCAGAGGCCCTAACTTGCTCTGAAGTAATGGAGGAGGTTGGAAGGTTGTCCTTGGAAACCTCCCTGCTTCTTGCATGTCAGCAATTTGACAAGTATGTTCTGGCCATGGATCTAGTTTTACAACGAAAGGGTCTCTCAGAGCATCTAGTCAAACATAATACTTTCCACAGAAGTGAGATTTAAAAGGGTTTTAACTAATCTGTATCTCTTTCTTTTTGAAATCCTTCGAGTCTGTATTCTCAATGCTAAAGCTATTTTATCCAAAAGGATTCATTTCCTTGTGTTGCTTCATATATCAAAATTTAATGAATAATCAAAATGGCAAAGAAGGAATTTACTTAAACACATTTTTGTTATTTCTGTGTTCTGAAAAATACAGACCTGGCTGGGCGCGGTGGCTCACGCCTGTAATCCCAGCACTCTGGGAGGCCGAGGCGGGCGGATCACGAGGTCAGGAGATCGAGACCATCCTGGCTAACAGGGTGAAACCCCATCTCTACTAAAAATACAAAAAAGCCGGGCATGGTGGTGGGCGCCTGTATTCCCAGCTACTCGGGAGGCTGAGGCAGGAGAATGGCATGAACCCGGAAGGCGGAGCTTGCAGTGAGCTGAGATCCAGCCACTGCACTCCAGCCTGGGCGACACAGCGAGACTCCGTCTCAAAAAATGAATTAAAAAAAAAAAAACATGCAGACCTAGAGTTAATAATTCTAATTTCTTGTGTGTAGTACTGATCCTTTATATTTTTAAAATAAATGAAATATTTAAGCATTTGTTATATAAAACATACAACAAATTTCCGGGACGATAACATCCTGAATCTTCTAAGTCATTTTGGAGTAAGATACTGCTAAGACCTTTTGTCATCCTTGCCTTTCTTTCCATGGGAAAGTGTGTAGGTGTTTCTCAAAAGAACAGGTTTCTGTCTGTTGCCAGCCCTGTATCAACATTGTAATTAAGAGAGGCTTTTATTCTTATTGAACAGAGTGGAAGCTGCTGCAAATGCATGCTACTAATAAGTGCTTAAAAATGCAGCTAATTAAATTGGTTAAGAACCGTAGAGCTTGCCAGGTCTTTAATAGTGAGGCTTTTATGATTGGAATAGAGACCTTCTCAAATGACCTTTTTTGACTGGTATGACTTAATTTATAATAAAATCTCATAAGGTCATTTTACGTGTCACAAGGTTTTCTGTGAGTTACATATTTGATAAAAGCTTATCTTCTTTAAGTTACAAGGTTTCAAAATGTAAAGACCATAAGCTTGGAGATTTCGAAAAACTATTCAAAGAGTATATGGGGATTTTTTTGTTTAAAGTAGTGTATGGTATTTTGGCTAAATACAATAAAATTACTTATTGGCCAAGATTTAAATCTGTTAAGTAGACAACAGAAGCTCTTAACTGATATTTAACTTAATTTCTAGATATAAAATAATGTTTTGTAACTTTTTTACATTAGAATTACTGCAATAAAATTTTAGTTGTTAGGCAGAGTGTATTTGACCAGCATATTCTATAGTAATTTGCATATATTGAATGTGCTTACTAAGTATAAAAAGCAGATGTCTCCAATTTATTTATATTTGTCATAATGTAAAAGTTGGCAAGACATGGAGACTGTATCATGTAATTATTTATTGTATAGTGAGACCACAGCAAGATATGTAATACTCTTTAGAGAGATAGAGAACCAGAGAAAATATATGGTACTATTTAAGGAGCTTGGGTTTTCAGTAGTGGCAATATTAATATTTATGGATACAGTCATTAAACAGGGCAACTGGAAGCCACTCTGAATTCTTCATGGTTTCTATCTTAACATTTTCATTTTGCCTGCTTTTAATTTTCCTTGTGAGAGAAATAAATGTTGCTTTAAGTAACAACAAAAAATGAGGTACAGAATGGTTCATCTCTTTGTATGACAGTATTGAGACAGTGCACATCCTGATTTTGAAATTTGTCATTTTATTTTGTAAAAACTGTTTCCTGAGACATGCTCCTCTCGAAAATAGAAAAACATAAGGCGTTTTGTGAATTATCTTGTACATCTAGTATTTTCCATGTTTTAAAATAAAATATGCTCTTTTCAAGTTTGAATTCAGATTAGTTTGTGGCATACACAGTGTTTCAAATTTGACAGATAAGGTTTCATAATATTGTGACACTTTTTTCTTATTATCTATATTATAATTTAGTTCTATATTCTCACTTTGTAAGTTTAATTGCTGTCTTGGCTTGGATTTAATGATTTCACCAAAAATGTTGAATATTGTCTTTTAAAAAAATAGTATAAAAGTAATTAAATTTAAAGACTCCTAATAGTTACTTGTGGTACCTATGTAGCTGTGTAACCACAGGGACGAGAATAACTGTATACTATTAACAAAATATAATAAAATATGAGTATTACAAATTGCTATTAAAGAGATTAAAGTTTAAAACTATTTTAAATGAATTGTAATTCAAATTAATTAGTATCCTACTTAGTATATTATTTGTTGTTATGACTAATTTTGGCAGTCTCTAACTTATTTTCAAGTGTAGTATTTTACATGCTAGTTAATGTGTTAAAATTCCAAGCATAGTTCTCCCCTTGTGTTTGAACAAAACTCCCACTGAAGCTGAAAGGATTCATTTTTTGTTCTTTTCTTAATACAAAGTTTGAACTTTCCCTGACAAAGATACCGGTTGGAAAATTGGGTGGTTTGATCATTTGTTTCATTTAACAGCAGGAAATTCTTTATCATTATCCAATGTCTGAAGCATCTCAGAAACTTAAAAGTGTGAGAGGGATTTTTCTCACACTCTGTGACATGCTGGAAAACGTAACTGGGACACAAGTTACTAGGTAATAATTTTTATTTGGCTTTAATTCTGTTTTTTTTCAAGTTCTTTTATTTCACCCTGACAAATAAAATGCTGAAACAAGTATCTGTTATACAAGTATACTTGTATCTACAATATATGTATTATATACATTATAGTCCATAATCTATGTACATACATGTATATATCTATACATTATAGATAACGAGATCTACAGAATGTCTGCAGATTTTTGCTTCATCTAAGTTATTTCTACCAATCATCTATTTGAAGTGTAGGTTCTCAATGCAGCTGTAGATCTGGGTGTTTTGGCACATTTTAAATAACAGTTGGGCCTATATTTATTATTTCTTCATGAAGGTGTATCTTTTAAGCATGGCATTATTATGAATCTCAGCTTTTTCATGTTTCTATCTTGATTGTTAACTTCCTAGGCAATACCTTTATGGCAAACAGAATTGGCAAGAATGACTGAACACCAAAATTGGTCATATAGCTAGGACATACTCTGTTCTTACAACAATGATAGAAAAATACAGAATGTTCTTTAGGAGGGCTATTCATAATCAGTGAATTTTCCTACCCTTCCACCCTTAAAACTCTCCAATGTCTGTTATTCCACACTCTATGTCCATGTGTACACATTATTTAGCTCCCATTTGTCCCTTTAATCTAACTTGATTTAGGTTAAAGGCTTAAAAGTAAGACTTGACACTATAAACATGCTAGAGGAAAACCTAGGAAAAATGTTTCTGTACATTGGTCTAGGCAAATAATTCATGACTAAGACCTCGAAAGCAAATGCAACAAAACCAAAAATAGACAAATAGGACAGATGCATTCATCATCAGTGTAGATACTCAGTGATGGATGAGCACCATTCATCCAACTGATATCAAATAATTTTATATTTGGAACTCTTAATATAGTCAGTTATAGAGTCAAATACCCATTCCATTGATTTATTAAGCCCTGACATTGAAATGCCATAATTTATGGGAAGAAGAGGCTCAAAGCTTTTAGGTTTGTTTTTTTTTCCATAAAATAAATCTAAGAATTATAAACAATTTTTCTTCTTTAATATTCAACAATTTTAGACTTTACAAAAAAATTTTATCTCAAATTTCAACAGCCTCCATAATACTGAGAAAATATCAAATTGGATTTTCTAGCCTTTAACTTTTTTTTCCCATATTTAGGTAGAAATGACATTTCTATGATTTTAAAAGAGGTAGAATCTACAAGGCAATAGAAAGAAGAATTTTATTTTTTAACTAATTGAAAGTCATGTTTATGTGACTTTAATATATTGTATATACAAACTGTTAGTTTATTTTCAATACAGTAGTACTGGAGGCTCTATTTAGTTTATCAATTTGGGTTCATAAAAGCGTATTGCAGGCCTCTTTTTATTTTTTAAACATCTTTATTGAGATATAGTACATAAGTGATACAGTTCACCCATTTGAAGTGCATGTGTAATCCTAAAATTGGTATGGAACCAAAAAAGAGCCTGAATAGCCAAAGCAGTCCTCAGCAAAAAGAACAAAACTTAGAGGCATCACATCACCTGATTTCAAATTATACTATAAGGCTATAGTAACCCAAAACAGCATGTTACTGGTATAAAAATAGACACATAGATCAATGGAACAGAATAGAGAAACAGAAATAAAGCCACATGCCTATAGCCAATTGATCTTTGACAAAGTTGACAAAAATATACACTGGGGAAAGTACACCCTATTCAATAAATGGTGCTGGGAAAGTTGGATAGCCATATGCAAAAGAATGAAACTGGACCCATCTCTCTCACCATATACAAAAATGAACTCAAGTTAGATTAAAGACTTAAGTATAATTCCTGACACTATTTACACTATAAAAATGCTAGAAGAAAACCTAGGAAAAACTCTTCTGGATATTGGCCTAGGCAAATAATTCATGAGTAAGACCTCAAAAGCAAATGCAACAAAACCAAAAAATAGATAAGTAGGACTTAATTAAACTGAAAAGTTTCTACACAGCAAAAGAAATAGTGCAGAGTCAATAGATAGCCTTCAGAATGAGAGAAAATATTTGCAAATTGCACATCCACCAAGTGACTAATATCCAGAATCTATATAGCGAACTCAACTCAACAAGAAAACAACCAATAACCCCATTAAAAAGTGGGCAAAGGACATGAACAGACATTTTTAAAAAGAAGACGTACAAATGGATAACGTGCATATGAAAAAGTGCTTATCACTAATCATCAGAGAAGTGCAAATTAAAAGCACAATGAGATAACATCTTACACCAGTCAGAATGGCTGTTATTAAAAGGTCAAAAAATAATAGATGCTGGTGAGGATGCAGAGAAAAGGGAATGCTTATACAGTGCTGGTGGAATTGTAAATGAATACAGCCTCTACAGAAAACAGTATGGAGATTTCTCAAAAAACTAAAAATAGAACTACAATTTGATCCAGTAACCCCATGACTGGGTATATACCCAAAGAAAAGAAATCATTATATCAAAAAGATACCGGCACTCATATATTTATGAGTGCTATTCACAATAGCAAAGATAATGGAATCAATCTAAGCATCCATCAACAGATGACTGGATAAAGAAAATGTGGTGTATGTATATACGATGAAATAAAAAAGAACAAATAAATAAATGGAATAAATTAAATAAGTAAATGGAATAAATAACAGAAAATGAAATCATGTCATTTGCTGCAACGTAGATAGAACTGGAGGCCATTATCTTAAGTGACACAACTCAAACAGAAAGTCAAATATTACATATTCTCACTTATAAATGAGGGTTAAATAATGTATTCACATGGACATAGTGTGTAAAATAACAGACACTGGAGATTTTGAAGGGCGGGAGGGGAGTCAGAAATGAGAAACTACTTAATGGATACAATGTACACTCCTCAGGTGATGGTTGCACTAAAAGCCCAAACTTCACCACCATGCAATATCCATCTATTACAACTGTACTTGTACCCCCTAAATATATACAAATAACAAATTTTAAAGTGTACAAGTAAATGCTTTTTAGTGTATTCACAGATATACACAACCCTCATCAAAGTCAATTTTAAAACATTTTTCTCACGTCAGAAAGAAATCCTATACCCTTTAGCTCAGCCAGCCCAACCCCTGGGCAACTGCTAATCTACTTTCCATTCCTATAGATATCCCTGTTCTGGACATTACATATGAATGGAATCATATAATGTGTGGCTATTTGTGACTGGCTTCTTTCATTTAGCATAGGAGATGCATTTCATTTAGCATAAGGTGTGCATTCCTCCTTTACAGTCTTATTAGAAAGAAAATTTGTTTCTCTGTGCGGTGTTTTGAGGTTTTTTTTGTTTTTTTTGTTTTTTGTTTTTTGTTTTTTTTGTCTTCGTTTTTTCTACTGTAAAGAATAGATTTTATTTTACCTAATATTTAGATTTTGTTATTAACCATGAGATATGGGTTAAATGTGGAAAGCAGTAAATACAGCTAGAAAAACTTTTTTGAGAAGGTAATAAATATGAAAATTATTTTAGGGGTTCCTTAGCAATGTGTGTATCTTTTGTTGCATACACACTTTTTAAACTATAGTAATATTAGTATACTACAAGAGTCTAATATTTGTCTAAAAGTGTATGCATTTCTAAAATGTATTAAGACAAAAGTAATGTTCTGTGTGGAAAAATTCATTTAATGATTTATATTTAAAATTCTACACAAAGTTCTCTATATTATCATAATTCGTTATTGTATCTCTTTTTAGAACATATTTAAATTTTTAAAACTTCACTGAAGTATAATGAAGTAAACTGAACATATGTAAAATGTACAATTTGATTAGTTTTCACATAGGTGTATACCCTGAAACTATCAACACAATGAATATATTCATCACGCCAAAAGTTTCCTTGAGAACACATTTAAATCTGACTTACATTTTGTTTACATGTTTATATATTTGTGTCCCATACTGATTGTCATCTCAGCTGGGACTACATCTTCCTTTCTTTAGCAAATCATCTTCATAAATAGGCAGTCACAAAATATTTGTTAAATTAACCAACTGAGATGAAGCTTTCTTTTTTTTTTTTTTTTATTGAGACAGGGCCTTGCTTTGTCACCCATGCTGGAGTGCAGTCATGGCTCACCACAGCCTTGACCTCCCAGCCTCAAGTGATCCTCCCATCTCAGTCCCCATCCCAAGTAGCTAAGACTACAGGACCACTCCACTATGCCCAGCTAATTTTTTTTTATTTTTTTTAGAAATGGGGTCTTACTTTGTTCCCCAGGGTGGTCTCAAACTTCTGGGCTTAAGTGATCTTCCCACTTCAGCTTCCCTTAAGTGCTGGGATTATAGGTATGATCCACTGCACCCCGTTTTGAAGCTTTCTTTTGGAAAAAAAAATTTATATTATGCTTAATGTTAGCAAGAGAATTTCAACTTTTTTTTTTTTTTCTATAATGGGTCTACTTTTGTTTGGCCTAGAGTTTTCTTTTTTCTCTTTTTGAGACATAGTCTCACTGTGTCACCTAGGCTGGAGTGCAGTGGCACAATCTTGGCTCACTGCAACCTCCGCCTCCCAGGTTGAAGCACTTCTTGTACCTCAGCCTCCCGAGTAGCCGGGATCACAGGCATGTACCACCACACCAGGCTGTCTTTTGTGTTTGTAGTAGAGACAGGGTTTTGCAATGTTGACCAGGCTGTTCTCGAACTCGTGACCTCAAGAGATCCACCTGCCTTGGTCTCCCAAAGTGCTGAGATCATAGGTGTGAGCCACCACACCCAGCCTGGCCTAGAGTTTTCTGTTTTGTTTTTTTTTCCAATATGTTGCAGTATATTTTTACTGTCAAATAATTCCTTGCGTTTTTTGTGTGACAGGTATATGAAAAGGAATCTACTTATTAAGTATGCAGTTCTTAAATCATACCATATGCAATCTTTTATGAATTATACTTATAATTTTATGACATTTAAAGATATTTTTATCTTATTTTGAATTTATTGTTTCTTAGCTCATCCCTCCTTTTAAATGGAAAACAAATTCACGTGGCTTATTGGAAAGAATCTGACAAGTTGTTGCTAATTGGCCTGCCTGCTGAAGAGTAAGTTGAGGTTTTTGCTTACCTTAAAATCATTTCAAAATAATATTACATTTCTTTTGTTAAAATTATTACATTTTTGTCAAAGGACAAACTCCTTAACAGTTTTACAGTTTAAAGATCTATTGCGCTAGTAAAATAGTTACCTGTGTTCATTTGGTATGAATAATGCAGAAAGGTGCCATGGAGTCTCAGCTGGGCCAGTTCGTAAGCGGGGGTCTGTCAATACACTTGCTTCTTTTGTGGTCAGTAGAGAGGTGGCTGACAGATGAGCTCTGCCTCTGCTAAAACTTTTGACAATATTGTGATTTGGATTTTGCACATTTACAGTTTTTTACTGTTGGACCAGATTTTGGAGAATTAAGGGTCAGCAGAAGGGTATTTTGCCCTGATTTGAGCATCTTTGACAAAATAAGGTATATGTAACTCTAAAGTGACTTCTCTAATGGTATGTCTTATATTATCATGGTCTCCCTCTTAACTATTTTGTGAGTATTTTGAAGTATACATTTAATAGTTGGAGGTAAAAGCAGGATTGACATTTATAATAAACTGACCTTGTGCTCCAGGGACTGCATTAGGTACTTTACATTTATTAAACTCATTTAATCTTCAAAATCACTTCCAGACATACTTAGTGATTACTGGCTCCATTTTGTATATGAGGAAAGTAAAATCAAAAGAGGGTTCGATAACTTGCCAAAGCTTGCATAGTCAACAAGAGGCAGGATTGGAAATTGATTGAGGGTCTGTCTGAATTCTTTCTACAACATTGATTCCCTAATGTCATAGGACATTGAAAATCAAGGGAGAAATGGACTACAAGTATGGAGAATGGCCCCAAGGAGATGAACTTAACTACTATTATAATAGTGTTATGTTCCTGTTCAATGGTTTTTAAAACTTGTAATTTAGACTTTTGCCTACTTTAAAAGGTATTCGGACAACTTTTATTAAGTAATTAAACACACTTTAGTTTTCCCCTTTGGTCTGTAGAATCATAGCATATGGTCTACAAAATAGGAATCAAATATCAAAGCAAATACTGTAATATGTGATGGATACAACTTTAGAGAATACCAGTTGAGATAAATTTTCTCTTGGTGTTGCTTCAAGCTTCCCAAGAAAGAAAAAGATGTACCAGGAAGATGCATTATCTAGCCAATCTGAACGTGAATATGACTATTTTTTATTACTAATGATTTTGTTAACCAGATTTCCTTCATTATATAGCAGTATATTCATTTTTTATTGCTGTGTAACAAATCGTTCCCCAAAACATAGGGGTAATTTAAACTTAAATAGTAAACATTTATTAACACAGAGGTATTTTTGTGGTTCAGGAATCCAGGAGTAACCTAGCAGGTAGTTCTGCCTCAAGGTCTTTTCTTGAGGTTACAATCCAGTGTTGGCCAGGGATAGACTTATCTGAAGGCTTTAACTGGAGCTGGAGAATCTGCTTCCAACATGGCTTATACACATGGCCATTGATAGGAAGCCTAGTTTCTTGTCACGTGGACCTCTCCATGTAGCTGCTTGGGTGTCCGCATAACGTGTCAACTGGCTTCCTCCAAAGTGGCGAGCCAAAACACAGAAAGAGGGGGATGCTACATCCCCCTCTTTTATGTCTTAACCTTAGAAGTGATACACTGCCATTTCCACAATATTTGTCATTTCCACCATTCTGTTTGTCAGAATTGAGTTACTAAGCTCAGCCCACACTCATTGGGAGAGGAATTAAGCCTCACTTCTTGAGGGGAAGAGTATCAAAGAATTTGTGGACCTATTTTACCATCACAACAGGAATTCCAAAGATGGCTACAGTGAAAAATATCAAAATGATTATATTTTGAAGGTAACTTTAATTTTGGACAGAAAGAAATATAATCTATCATAAATGTGGGGTTCAAATCTTTTAACATGGGGGATATGGCGCTGTGACATATACTAGATGAGGGCACTCTTTAACCAGCCACACAAGAGAAAAATGTGTGTTTTTCTGTCTAAAATAGGATACTGAACCCTTCTCAGAGACTGCCCTGTGGGTTTGGATTATGAGGAACAAAAGAGTTGTTTAGAAAGTATGAGTCTACAGCCAGGCAGTGGCTCACACCTGTAATCCTAGCACTTTGGGAGGCCAAGGCTAGTGGATTCCTTGAGCTCAGGAGTTCAAGACCAGCGTAGGTAACATGGTGAAACCCTGTCTCTACAGAAAATGCAAAAATTAGCCAGGCACGGTGGCATGCATCTGTAGTCCCAGCTACTTGGGTGACTGAGGTGGGAGGATTGCGTGGGCCTTGGAGGCGGAGGTTGCAGTTAGCTGTGATGCTGCCACTGTACTCCAGCCTGGGTGACAGAGCAAGACAATGTCTCAAAAAAAAAAAGAAAAGAAAAGAAATAAATTTTGGGTTTACAAGGATTGGAGAACATCCAGAATGAGATGATTTAGTATGTAGCAGCAGAGTAAAACATGTCTCTTTAAGACTTTCATATCAGCCCAAAAGGCAAAAGAGAAGAAAGAAAATACAGTGGTGAGATAAAGGTAGCATAGGCAGTTAGAGAGAGGAAAGGCAGACCTGGCTAAGGAACTGAGCAAAGGCTGTTCAACCACACTCTGATAACACCAGCCGAATCAGCTAAGCAGAGACAGTTTCCAGGTGAGGTTGTATCTTGAAGCCAACAAAGGACTGTCACTGCTGAACTCTGGACCAAGGTTGTGCCACATGAGGGATGCTCTAGCCAGTTTCTTAATCTTTATTAATCAGGGTGGGGGAAAGGAGGCCATCTTCCCTAAATATTTATGTCATTCCTATACTAAAGAACTTGGCTTGATAAGTTAGAATTAATTTGAAGATCCCCTTTATTCTCTTTCCTGAGCTTCCACTGAAAAGTAAGCTTGAGCCATCTCTTTACCCTTCTCTTAAATGCTCACACCAACCTTCTGTTCCAGATTATTTTCCCTCTTCCATCTCATTTCACATAACTAAAAGATAGGTAGTAGTATTCTCATTTATTCAAACTTGGAAATAGAGTATTGAGAGATCACGCACAAGCACCTCTTCAGTGTCAACTTACATGTCTTCATATCACCAACATTTTGCACGTGCTTTGTAATTGAACTCAAAGGCCTGGGATTTTCTCCTCATCCATTTCAGTGCCATAGACTGCGTGTTTCCCTCCTCACCTCTATGCCTTTTATAAACAGGGTAAGAAAAGTCCTGTCCCACAGAATTTAGGGTGGGGCACATGATCGAGGGATATGTGTTTTCAGATGGGAAGATCACATTCCCGTGATGGCTGCAGTGAATAGCGGAAACCTAACCAGGAGGACAGTGTGGGGTAGTGGGAGAATAACTTTGGGTCTAAGAAGATGAGTGCTCACCAGCAGGCTCTACTCCCTTTCTACCCTTGCAGAAATTATGTAACTTCTTGGACTTCTGTTTACTCACTGGCATAATGGGAATAATAAGAGCTACCTTGTAAAATTCTTATAAGGCTTCAATGAGAAAATATAAGTCCATTTCTTTATTTCCTTTCTCCTACTTTCTTCCCATTCTCCATTTCAATTAAGAGTGTGTTTTTGTCACAGGATTTGGAGGCCCAGTTGATATGTGGGTAATACTAAAAAGTGTCAAGAATTTAGCATTTTTTTTTTTGTGGGCCCAGGTCTTGTAAAAACTAGTTTATTTGCATTAATTTCATTTAATCCTCAGAATCAATCTGAGAAGGGCTTGGTGACTATTGGCCTCATTTTACAGATGAAGAAACTGAACTTTAGAGAGAGTTACATGATTTGCAAATAAATGGTGTTATAAAGTCCCTGTTAGATTCATGCTGGAACTAAATCTAGAATAAAGTGATCAATGGTCATTGAAAGCGACCATTTTATACGGCTTTACTCAGAGTTGACACATATACTTTTCACATTCCGTATGTGTAAAATTCAAGGGTGATCTGCTTCTTTTAGATAAATGTCATTTGATTATGCTGTAAATTAATACGTGTAATTTTGCTTTTTTAGAGTTCCTCTTTCTCGGCTAAGGAACATGATAGAAAATGTCGTCCAAACCTTAAAATTTATGTATGGTTCTTTAGATAGGTAAGTACTTCTTCAAATTGACTCTCAAGTTTTAATTACATGATTCTAAGTCACCTTTTGCATTTCAGGCCATTTCTTGCTTGACAGGTTAGTTATTTGTCTCCTCTTTTTCCTCCTTCCCTCTTTCCTCCTCCTCTTCCTTCCTCTTCCTTCTCCTCTTCCTTCCTCCTTTCCCTTTCCTTATTCTTCCACCTCCTTCTTTTTCTCCTTCCTCTTCTTATTTTCTCATCTTTTATTACTGGCTTTTATGTTACAACAGTAGGCAGTTTTTCATTTGATTCCTTTTTTTTGTTTGTTTTTGGTCTCATATATGACTTTAGTGAAATTTCTTAGTGAATTAGTGACATAACCACAACTGTATTCTGATTTGATATATTTCTGTAGGGTCAAATGTAAGAGTATTTCTTCATAACAGATACAGAAAAGAGAAAGACTTAAAATATATTTTTGTGATTTTTTTTGCTGGTAAGACCATTAAATTCCCTATCCTGAAATATGATGGTTCTTTCTCAAAAAAAATTCTTTAGTAAAAAATTTATGCAGTCTTATTTTAGAAAGACATACAGTAGAGACAGTATTGACTGATTTTGTTTGTGTCCTTCCATATATTTTTCTATATAATAAAAATATATTCCCTTTTTAATAAAAGTGTGCTGCTATGCATATTTTTCTGCTTCTTTTTTAACATTCTTGATCTGAAGGCAGAAATTTGAGGTAACATTTAACGTTTGAGCACACAAAACTGGGTATGGGAAATCGATTTTTCTCTTAGTGACTTTTGTTCTTGTATTTCTGAGGGCTAAAATGGTATCTTTGTGTTTAAAGCCTTAGGAGTATATCAATACAAAAATCCAAAGGCAGTTTATACATTTTTCCAAACCATAGTGATATCAGCTCTCTGTTTATCTGTAGTGGATCTTTGTTCTTATTGTTCTGACAGTGTCATGAAGGAATTTTCTGTGATGGTGTCATCTGGAAAAATTATCTAGTTTGCAGTGCAGTGTTCTCTAGAGGAACCACTGAGGAGGCACATCCCTGTCAAACCTGATTACTTACCGACATTTTCCAAATGAGTGAGCTACAAAGAGCTGGGCATCCATAAATAGTCCTTTTACCTTTTACTAGTAAGGAAATTTTTAACCAATGAAGAGTAAGAATGTGGTTATGAATTGCCTCTTTAAGTTTACTCGAGAGAGGCAAACTTTGCCATATTTTGCCCTAATTAAAGTTTTCTGTTTTCATAAAACCAGAGATTATCAAAGATTAAATTTTTGCAATGAGTTTCATACATGAAAATAGTCCACTGGAGTTGTCCTGCAAATTCCATTAGAGTAGACTGGGGACAGAGGGACTTAATTTCTCTTTCATCTTGAAATTTATCTTCCATTGATAGTGAAAGTATCTTTTTGATGGCAGCAAATTTAATTCTTTTCTACTTCAAGTGAGAATTTAAAGAGCAAACTACAATAATAAATATGAAGATCCATTGAGTTCTTAAAACCAAGAAGCACAGTGAATCCAGGATGTTATTAATAGACATTTTGTAATAATTTTTTATAACAACTTTTTTCTGATTATGAAAGATATTAAGGGCTAATTGTGAAAAATTACAAAAAGACCAAAAAGTGTAGAGACTTAATTATCTTTTTAATGTTGTGAGCTGGTTAATTCTCTATGAGCCACAGAAAACTAACTATATACTACCAGTTTAATGTTGTGACCAAATTAAAGCTATAACAATTTCCTTCACCATTCCCAACTAATTCATCAGCAAGTCCTCATCAGTCTGTCTTCAAAATCTCCAATGTGTCTGTTTCTCTTTATCTTTACTATTGCCCTGTCCAGCCACTGCTATCTCTCACACACTTCAGTAGCCTCCTAACTGGTCTCCTTCCCTTCAATCTTGCCACTTGAACTAATTTTCATATAGCAGTTAGAGTGATCTTTCTACATTATTATCTGGCTCCTACCTACCCCTCTGACTTCAGATATCAAAGCACACGTGCCTCCTCTGCTCCTTTGCTCAGGGTGCAAACACCCTGGCAAAGCTTTTCCCCACCCCAGGGCTTTTGTACTTTTTCTTCTTGCTGGATCTTCCTGACGTTAGAATATCAGCTCAAATGCCCTTTCTCTGAGATTCTTCTCCAACCATTCAACCTAAAATAGCCAACCTGTCACACCACCCATTCACATTGTGCTATTTTCTGCATAGTCCTTTATACGAATTCATGTTTTTTACCACTTGTTCATTTGCTGTGTTTCTCCATTAGAACATAAGATTCATGGGAGTTCATTGTCTTTTGTCTTGATATTTTTACTGCCATAACTCCAGCAATGAGAATAGTGCCTGGAATATAGTAGTCACTCAAATATTTGTTGGATGAATCAGCGAATATTATTTTGATACACCGATAGCATATGTACCTGCTATTTTGTCATTCAATGAGCTGTTCCAATAAATGCTTGCAGTCAATGCTGTGTTACTTTTATATGGCTAAAACCAAGTATTTCGGTTTTTTCTGTCATTTTGTTTTTTGAGTTCTTTAATATTATACCTTCAGCAGTAACGAGGGGAGGAAATAACTTATGCTTATTATGTACTTACTGTTTACCAGTAAATAATAAGCATAACAAGAACTTATGCTTGTTATGTTCTAGGCATTCTGCATGTGAGTTAGATTGTATTAACCCTATTTTTACAGAGTTGGAAACCAAAGTTAGAGAGAGGTTGGGTGATCTGCCTTTGATAGCTACCTACAAAGAGCTGTGATATGCCACATCTGTTCTATTACAAAGTTCAAAATCTCTTTATCATTCCACGTTGCCTGAAAGATTTCAGGAGTTGTAAATGGTTGAGAGATAGTCAGAGGTAAGAACAACCTACCTTTTTTACAAAAAGGGTATTTCAGCCCTTTCTGTTATAGATATGTCACTTGTGTTAGCCCTGTGGTTCTTCCATAGAACCATCTACTCAATACATTTGAGAGTAAGTTTTAGGGTAAAAAGTATGGACAGGGTGAATTTCTTTACACAATCCGTCAGTAACATTCTAGCAGCAATTCTATTAAAGGAGAGGAGTGAGGAAGATAGCCTATGTAGTTGGGAAAGATCCAGTTCCCTTAGGAGCACACAAAAAATGACCACCATTTCCATATGTTGTTCTAACTTACAGCTCTTATTTCTCCAGTGCCTTTTGCCAGATTGAGAATGTTCCTCGTTTGGATCATTTTTTTAGCTTGTTCTTTCAAAGAGCGCTTCAGCCTGCGAAACTGCATTCCAGCGCCAGTCCCAGTGCTCAGCAGTACGATGCTTCCAGTGCAGTACTTTTAGACAACCTCCCTGGAGTCCGGTGGCTCACTCTTCCACTGGAAATCAAGGTAATCTTAGATATTATAAAGAAGAACCAGAACCAGGTGGCTTATTATAATCTTGCATCTTCTTTTTTCGTAGACTTTTTGTTATTTTTGGAATTGTGGTTAAAAATTAAAGAGGCAGTTGGTTGACAAAATAGGAGGTCCAGTGCAATAAACCCAGAAAGAGAAATTATTCTTTATAAGTAGAAATTTGCTCTGTCCTCTTACTTTTAAATTTAAGCTTTGTCCAAGCTGGGACTGCTTTTCAGAAATCGTAATTAAATGGTGTATCTTCCTTTGGAATTTTGTGACTTTGATTTTATAATGTAAGGTTGTCAAGTTAGAATTATGTTTCTGTACAAAAAAAGTGGATGACCTGATTGACTAACAATATTCTCAGTTAAAATACAAAGTCCACTAGTCTACCAAAATCTTTTTTTACATGAACATATGTGATTAGCTTTTGGCTTGTCCCATAGATAGCTACCAATAGTAAGACTGTATGATGGTTAAGAATTATCAATATGATTTTAGTTGTATCTGTATACCTAGAATAACTTTATTATTGAATGATTGACAAGATTATTTCAGACATTTTCATCAATGTAGACCACCATATAATCTATTTAGTTACAGCATTTGTATTAGTATTAAATGAGGCAGTATGCCATAGCCACTTCTCTGCTTATGAAGAAACCTAGGCTATGTTACAGTAGAAACTTAATTCAAGTTCCTACTCTTCATAAGACTCTGCAGTGTATGATCAAATAAATGCCTTTTTGACAGTTTAATAGTTATTTAAATTGATGTATCAATCACTTTGTTCAGTTTCCTCATCTGTAAAATGGAGGAAGTAATAGTCCCTACCTCATGGAAAAGTTACGAGTTATTACACATGAAGTATTTAGAATTGTGCCTGGCATGTTGTAGTTGTAGTTATGGGAGCATTATTATACAATTACTATTTGAAGGGAGATGAGGTGTTAGAGCATGTTCAAAGGATGCTTTGCCTTCTGGTGTTTTTATTTTGTCCTTAGCTCTATCAACTGCCTGGTCTTTTGATATTTCAGGACAATAATTACTCCTTCCTTCCTTCCTTCCTTCCTTCCTTCCTTCCTTCCTTCCTTCCTTCCTTCTTTCCTTCCTTTTTCTTTTTTTTTTTTTTTTTTTTTGTGAGACAGGGTCTCGCTCTGTCACCCCAGCTGGAATGGGAGTGCAGTGGCGTAATCATAACTCACTGCAGCCTCCACATCGCAGGCTCGGGTGATCTTCCCCCCTCAGCCCCTCAGGTAGCTGGAACTACACGTGCACACCACCATGCCTGGCTAATTTTTGTATTTTTAGTAGAGACCATGTTTCTCCATGTTTCCCAGGCTGGTCTTGAACTCCTGAGCTCAAGCAATCTGCCCGCCTCAGTCTCCTAGAGTGCTGGATTACAGGCATGAGCCATGGCACCTGGCCTGCCATTTTCTTAAATTGTATAAAAAACTAAAAAGTATGAGATATATAATTCTACCTAATGTTTTCATAAAAATATATAAGCATTGGCTGAGCATGGTGGCTCATGCCTGTAATCCTCGTGCTTTGGGAGACAGAGGTGGGAAGATCACTTGAGGCCAAGAGTTCAAGACCAGCCTGGACAACATAGGGAGACCCTGTCTCCACAAAAACTTTAAACATTAGCAGAGCATGGTGGCACACACCTGTAGTTACAGCTACTCAGTAGGCTGAAGTGGAAGGATTACTTGAGCCCAGGAGTTGGGCTCCCCACTCTATCATAGTTGCAGTGAGCTATGATTGTACCGCTGTAGTACAGTGGGGCAACAGGGTGAGACCCTATCTCAGGAAAGGAAAGGAAAAAGGAAAAGGAAAAAAGAGGAAAAAAGGAAGAGAAAAGAAAAAAGGAAAGGAGAAGGAAAGGGGAAAGGAAAGGGGGAGGGAAGAGGGATGGAAGGATGTAAGTGTTCAATATAGGTAGAAACATAGAAAGTAACTAGATAACTTTACCTTTAAAAGAGAAACACCCTGGTTCCAAAGACTGTCTCATGTCCATTCTCATTCTGGGGTCTTTTTTCCTCAGCCACAGGGCCCATGCCCACTTCACGAGTCAGAAGGTACCATCTCTTGAGGCTTGCCTTTCTACCTGGCCATTACCTAGGTTCTTGCCCCTCTGTCAGAATTTCTTCATTAAAGAAACCTCTTCCCTCAAAATATATAGTCCCTTCTTTCTGTGATAGTAGAGGTACTTAATGTTTTAGGGGTAGTGTGTTTAGAATTTAGATACATTAAGATTAAATATTATCTTTCCTCAAAAAAATTTAAGATGTTCTTAAATATTGTCTATTGGGGGCTTACAGATTGCATGTGAAGGCTACCTCTTTTTCATTGAGAGTTTTGTTAATTTAGCATATATTTCTTTAAAAGATTTATATGCTTTTCTTTATTTCACCCTAAAAGAATATCAAATTGAGAAATCACTGTGTGAATTCTGGTATATATTTTTAATTCATTGCCTTAAAACATAGCTGTTGCTTATCTTGTCAATGCTTTGGCTGCTTTTATCCTTGTTACATCTAACACTACTGTGTGGAGATCAGTGTTCATTGTGCCGGTTCCTCAAGTCTGTGCCGTGCTTTGCAGAATGCAGAAAAACCTCTAGATGTGCACAGGCAAGTTGAGCAGGTGAAATTAATACACAGGAAACAGTGAGGATCTGGCTTAGTTGTTTTCTATATTTTGTAGTCCAGTTAGGAGATTGAGAACAATACTTTTGGGAAGAGAGCTAGATACCTTCTGCTAAAGTAGTCTAAAGCTCTATTTGATTAATATAAAATTTGAGTAGCAATAACAATTGAAGTTTTTTTTTTTAATTCTATTTTTTACTGCAGTTTCAGGTTCACAGTAAAATTGAGAGAAAGGTATAGATTTCCCACATGCCCCCTTCCCCCATACATCACACATGCATAGCCTCTCCATTATCAACATTCCCCCACCACAGGGGTACAGTTGTTATAATTGATGAACCTACATTGACACATCATAATAACCCAAAGTCCATCATTTACATTAGGGTTCATTCTTGGTGGTATACATTCTATGGATTTAGACAGATTATAATGACATGGATCCATCCTTGTAGTATTACACAGAGTAGTTTCGCAGCCCCGGAAATCCTCTGTGTTCTGCCTATCCCTCTTTTTCATCCCTCTCTTTCCATTAACTGCTGGAAACAATTGATCTTTTCACTGCCTCCATCGTTTTGCATTTTCCAAAATGTTATATAGTTGTAATCATATAGTATGTAGCCTTTTCAGATTGGATTCTTTCACTTGGTAATACATATTTTAAGTTCCTCTTTGTCTTTTTACGGCTTGATAGCTCATTTCTTTTTAACGTTGAATAGTATTTCATTGTTCAGATGTACCACAGTTTATTCATCCATTCGCTGAAAATCTTGGTTGCTTCCACGTTTGGACAATTAATTCTTGGTCAAACAGCAAGAGAATGTTTAGTTTTGTAAGAAACTACCAAACTGTCTTCTGAAGTGGCTGTATTTTGTATTCCTACCAGCAATGAATGAGAGTTCCTGTTGTTCCATATCCTTGTCAGTACTTAGTGTTGTCAGTATTTTGGATTTGGGTCATTCTACTGTGTGTCTAGTTCTGTCTCATTGTTATTTTAATTTGCATTTCCCTGATGACCATGTGCTTATTTGCCTTCTGAATATCTTCTTTGGTGAACTGTTTGTTAAGGCCTTTGGCCCATTTTTTTAAATTCAATCGGTTTTTGGGGAAGAAGTGGTGTTTGGTTACATGAATAAGTCCTTTAATGGCGATTTCTGTGATTTTGGTTCACCCACCACGCAAGGAGTGTACACTGTACCTAATGTGTAGTCTTTTATCTCTTGCCACCCCCTGCTCTTTCCCCCAAGTTCCTAAAGTCCAAAGTATCATTCTTAAGTCTTTGCATCCTCATAGCTTAGCTCCCACATATGAGTGAGAACATACGATGTTTGGTTTTCCATTCCTGAGTTACTTCACTTAGAATAATAGTCTCCAATTCCATCCAGGTTGCTGCAAATGCCATTATTTTGTTCCTTTTTCTGGCTGAGTGGTGTTCCATGGTATATATATATATACCACATTTTCTTTATCCACTCATTGATTAATGGACGTCTGGTTCCATATTTTTGCAATTGTGAATTGTGCAGCTATAAACGTGTGTGCAAATATCTTATTCGTATAATGATTTCTTTTCCTCTAAGTAGATACCTAGTAGTGGGATTGCTGGATCAACCAGCAGGTCTACTTTTAGTTAAGGAATCTCTACAGTGTTTTCCATAGTGGTTGTACTAGTTTACATTCCCACCAACAGTATAAAAGTGATCCCTTTTTGCCACATCCACACCAACATCTATTTTTTTTTTTTTATTATGGCCATTGTTGCAGGAGTGAGGTGGTATCGCATTGTGGTTTTGATTTGCATTTCTCTGATCGTTAATGATGTTGATCATTTTTCCATATGCTGGTTAGCTATTTGTATATCTTCTTTTGAGAACTGTCTGTTCATCTCCTCAGCCCACTTTTTGATGGGATTGTTTTTTTCTTGCTGATATGAGTTCCTTATAGATTCTGGATATTAGTCCTTTGTCAGATGTATAGATTGTGAAGATTTTCTCCCACTCTGTGGGGTATTAACTCTGCTGATTATTTATTTTGCTATTCAGAAACTTTTTAGTTTAATTAAGTCCCATCTATTTATCTTTGTTTTTGTTGCATTTGCTTTTGGGTTCTTGGTCATGAAGCCTTTGCCCAAGCCAATGTCTAGAAGGGTTTTTCCAATGTTATCTTCTAGCATCTTTGTGGTTTCACGTCTTAGATTTGTTTAAGTCTTTGAATCATCTCGAGTTCTTTAAGCATTTGTGTATCTGGAAAAGACTATATCTTTTCTTCATTTACGAAGCTTCGTTTCACTGGATACAAAATTCTTGGCTGATAATAGTTTTGTTTAAAGCATCTAAAAATAGGACCCCAATCCCTTCTAGTTTTTTGTGTTTCTGCTGTTAATATGATAGGTTTTCCTTTATAGGTTACGTGATGCTTTTGTCTTACAGCTCTTAAGATTTTTTCCTTTGTCTTGACTTTAGATAACTTGATCACTATGTGCCTAGGTGATGATCTTTTTGTGATGAATTTCGCAGGTGTTCTTTGAGCTTCATGTATTTGGATGTTTAGATCTCTAGCAAGGCTGGGGAAATTCTCCTCAATTAATTCCCTCAAATATGTTTTCCAAACTTTTAGATTTCTCTTCTTCCTCAGGAACACCGATTATTCTTAGGTTTGGACGTTTAACATAGTCCCCAACTTCTTGGAGGCTTTGTTCATTTTTTTTTTAAATTCCTTTTTCTTTGTGTTTGATGGATTGGGTTAATTCAAAAGCCTTTTCTTCAAGCTCTGAAGTTCTTTCTTCTGCTTGTTTGATTCTGTTATGAGAGTTTCCAGTATATTTTGTATTTCTCAAAGTGTGTCCTTGATTTCCAAAAGTTGTGACTGTTTTTTATTTATGCTATCTGTTTCACTGAAGAATTTTCCTTTCATATCCCATATAATGTTTTTCATTTCTTTAAGCTGGACTTCATGTTTCTCTGGTGCCTCCTTGATTAGCTTAATAATTGACCTTCTGAATTCTTTTTCTGGCAATTCAGAGATTTCATCTTGGTTTAGATCTATTGTTGGTGAGCTGGTATGATCTTCTGAAGGTGTTAAAAAAAAAAACCTTGTTTTCTCATATTACCAGAATTGTTTTTCTGGTTCCTTCTCATTTGGGTAGACTATGTCAGAGTGAAGATCTGGGATTCGTGGGCTGCTATTCAGATTCTTTTGTCCCATGGGATGATCCCTTGATGTGGTGTTCTCCCCCTTCCCCTAGGAATGGAGCTTCCTGAGAGCTGAACTGTAGTGATGGTTTTTGCTCTTCTTGGTCTAGCCACCCAGCAGAGCTACCGGGCTCCAGGCTGGTACTGGGAAGTGTCTGCAAAGAGTCCTGTGATGTGATCCATCTTCAGGTCTTGCAGCCGTGAATATCAGCACCTGCTCCAATGCAGGTAGCAATGGAGTGAAGTGGACTCTGTAAGGTGTCCCTGGTTGTGTTTTTGTTTAGTGCACTGGTTTTGTGTTGGCCTCCAGTCAGGAGATGGCACTTTCAAGAGTGCATCAGCTGCAGTCATCTAGGGAGGATGTAAACTTGCCCTAGGGACACCTGGTTAAGTATGCAGGTTTCTCAGGCAGTGGGCAGAGCCATAGAGCTCCCAAGAGATTATGACCTTTGTCTTTGGCTACCAGGGTAGGTAGAGAAATACTACTAGGTGGAGACAGGGATAGGCCCGAGCTTGTTATTGTCTGAGCTTCAACTTTTCTTGGGCAGGGCTTGCCGCAGCTGCTGTGGGGGATGGAGGTGCAGTTCCCAGTCCAATGGAGTTGTATTCCTAGAGGGGATTATGGCTGCCTCTGCTGAGTCATACAGGTCACCAGGGAAGTAGGGGAAAACCGGCAGTCACGGGCCTTACCCCTCTCCCACACAGCCTGCAGTCCTAAAAGCCAGTCTCACTCCCACCATGCCCCCTCAACAGCACCGGGTCTATTTCTAGGCAGCCAGTGACCAGGGCTTAGAACTTACCCCAGACCAGGAGCCTCCCCATTGAGAAAGCAAGCAGACTCATAGTTTTTCAGCATCTCAGGGAGCCTGCAGCAGTGATCCAGTTCCTTCAAAGGGTCTACGGATTTTCTCAGCTTTCCTGGTATGTTTCTGCCATAGTTCTTGGAGCAAAAGTTCACGATGTGAATGTCCACATGCAGCCCTGTCCATTCGAGCAAGAGTTGCAAACTAGTCTTGCCTCCTATCTGCCATCTTAATCCTATTCTCAACCATTTTTTAATTTTTTTGTATGTGTTCTTATTGTGGAGTTTTAAGAGGTCTCTGTATATTTTAGATAATGGTTCTTTATCAGATGTGTCTTTTTCAAATATTTTCTCCCAGTCTGCGGCTCATCTTATTCTATTGACATCGTATTTTGCAGAGCAATAGTTTTTAGTTTAATGAAGTCTAGCTTATCAGTTTCATGGATTGTGGTTTTGGTGTTGTATCTAAAAAGTTAGTGTCAGACCCAATGTCATCTAAATTTTCTAGGAATTTTATAGTTTAGCATTTTACATTTAGACATATGGTCCACTTAGAGTTAATTTTTGTGTAGGGTGTATGGTGTGTGTCTAGATTGATATTTTTTATATGGGTGCCCAGCTGTTCTAGCACCATTTGTTGAAAAGACCATTTTTCCTTTTTACACTGTATTTGTTCCTTTGTCAAAGATCAGTTGACAGTATTTATGTGGGTGTATTTGTGGACTCTGTGTTCCATTGATATATTTATCTGTTCTTTCACCAATAATACGATGTCTTGATTACTGTGATATCAGCTTTTTTACGTTCCACATATGAGTGAGATCATGTGGCAGTGAGCTGAGATTGCACCACTGCACACCAGCCAGGGCGACAGAGTGAGATTCCATCTCAAAAAAAAGGGGGGGTTCTTATTCACAAATAGCATGTATGCTATAAAATTCAATTGCCAATAGTTTTGATTTATATATATATTTGTATTACAGATTAAACTTCAGATTAAATTTATTCTGTTTTTAAATTTGGAATGCTTCAAAGAAGAACAAAGGTGATACATGACAGAGCTCAGGCAATTTCCATAAAAACAAAACCCAAACCTAAGTAAGAGATTTTTTTTCTGATAACTCTCTGGGATAGTTGAACTGTGCCAAATTCCAGAGGAACACTTGCCTTTGTGTTTTAATCTAGGAATAAAGATTGACAACCCTTGAATGCAAAACATTGTGTCCAGGAGAAAGACAGGGAAGAATGTTGATATTTTTCAAGAATCCAACCATTGAGTAATATACAAAAAATGGAGAAACAAGAACAACTCAAAATAAGTTGGCTACCTTAAGACTGATTTTCATTTTCTTCTATGAAATCAAAAGGGTTAAATTAATTTCTAACTTAAAACTGGAAAGCAACTTTTGAAGCTCATAAATTTACTATGCATTGAATATATGCTGAAGACCATTTTGCAGTTATTGAGATTTAGTTGAAATATGCTATGTTAAATGAGTAAGTTGTTTTATGTTTGCAAAGCTTAAAAACAATATGTTAAATAAGTAAACTTTTATAATTGCAAAGCTTAAAAACATTATGTTCCATTTGGAGACATTTCTTAAGTAACACAAAGGAGAAAGATACTCAATTTTCAAGTAGTAATTAAGCACTTTTTATATGGCCATTACTAAAAAAGTAACTAATATGAGTCAAATGCTTATGTTACTCTCTCTTTTTTTTTTTAACATAGATGGAATTAGACATGGCATTAAGTGACTTGGAGGCTGCAGATTTTGCAGAACTGGTAAGAGAAGGAGTAAGTTTTACAAAAGGCTCAATGTTGAATTCTTGTTTTGTATACCAGTCATTATTCTAAATATTTACCAAGTGGATATATAATAATCTTGAAATACACATTAGTCCTCTGTTTTGACTGTGACAAAATCCATTTTCTTGCCTTAGGATTTTCTACTCAGTTGAAATAGTTGTTACACAATGTATATTATGGGATTAAAAATGATTAATTACACTGGTGTCACTAAGAACTAAGTTTTTGAGGAAAACAAATATAAATGTAATACTGATTAAGTTAAATAAGAACCCTGTAGAGCTGTACTTAAATTGGAAGTCTCAATATGGTTTTTAATATTTTAATTATTGTATTTCCTAGCTATGTCCAATGAAAAGGCCTAGCAATAGTGACCGTCGCAGTAATGATAAGTACCATTAATACCCAGGCCATGGTGTATAAATAACATTTCTCACCAAAAGGAACCAGGATTCCTCAAGAATTGGCTCATTCAAACTTGGGGCTGAAAATGTACAAGATAAGTCTGAGAACATCTTGTCGTATCAGAAATTCAGAAGGCTTTCCAAAAATTAATAGGGTTATGGTAGAGCTCAAATTGTCATGAGACAACTTGAAGAGGCTCCCTGTTGAACATCTATAAGGAAATACCTACAACAGATTGAAACACATCAGATATGTATAAGTTCATAAGTGCATAAAGATACTAAAAACAAAAAAAAAGAAACTTGCTAGTCAACTTTGGAGAATATGAGGGCATCAACTTGTTTTTGTGAAAACTGTTAAATGAAGAAAAATCAGACATTTATCCTGCCTTTCCTATCTAAACCATATGTCAAGGTTACCAAAAGGAGGTGAAGGAGAGCTTCTTTTTATGAAAGTAGTCTAACTGAAATGTCAAGAAAGACACAGAATTGGAATATCACCATTTTGCAGTCCCTCAATGAATTAATGGATCTAGGCAATGGTCATCAACAGCTATTAATATCACAAACAGAAAACCAACAGATAATATGTTGTTCCTGATGGAAGCACACAGACCACCTATAAAATATGCTTGATGAGGCCTCAAGATCTAACTACTAATTTATAGGAAATACCATTGAAAAGGGGGCATGTTAAATGACCCCATTTGGGGAAGAGGGGTTGCAGTCAGCAAAATCCAGACTGGCAAATACTGCAGGACAGTTTCTTCTCCAAATAAATTAGAAAAGGGTGGTCTGAAGTTGGGGAGAAGGGAGAGAAGTTGAGAGAGAACTCAGTTACAAGAGACTGAATATTATCAACCAAGTGTATATATGTCCTTTCGTAGATCCTAATTCAAACAAAGTTTTAAAAACATCTATGAGACAACGAATCTCATAGATGAGGCTGAATCTATTCATGAGTCTCATACATTCAAGGAAATGTAAGCACAAATGACTGGGTATTAGATGAAAATAATTCTTTATATTGTGATAATGGTATTATGATTATATGTATTTTTAAATTCCTTCTGTTTTATACATACCTTCTGAAGTGTTTACAGATGAAATGATATAATATCTGGTATTGGTTTTGAAATAATTCAGCTGGAGGAAGGGAAGATGATGATACAGGTGAAACAAGATGAGCCATGGACTGGTCATAGTTAAACCTGGGTGGTGATGGCTATACAGGAACTAATTATACAATTCCCTTTTTGTATACGCTGAAATTCTCAGTAATAAAAGTTCTTTTACAAAGTAAATGGGAAGTAAGGGAAGTAAAAGCCATAAGGTGTGGATTATTCTCAAGAAGATTGCCAGTGAAATTGGAGGAGAATGTTAACTTGAGTCTTAACAAACACCCTAAACAAATGAAAGGGTGTTTTGTCTGTAAAAACAATAGAAATTTAGGCATGGTAAACTCTTATGGCTCATAATTTTTCGAGTAATGGAAAATGTTTAGATGGATATTAACCATTAGGAGCAGTTCAGAACTAAAATATTAAAATATCTGATTTTTGGAACTTACATCCAGTGTTTAATTTAAAAATCTAATTCCTGCCTTTATAGAACACTATTTTAATGAGCAATGGAATTAACAATATTTTCTATGGTTAAAGATAATCTATTGGGATTCCTAGATACAGTAAAAACAAAACAAACAAAAAAAAACCACAATTCATAAAAGAAAAAATGGATAAATTGAGAATGTAAAATGGTACAACTACTTTGGAAGACAGTTTGGCAATTTCTTAATAACCTAAACATACACCTACCATATAATTCAACCAGTCTGTTCCTGTCTTTTTAAACCAAGAGAACTGAAAGCATATGTAATACAAAGACCTGTATACAAAATAACTTTATTTGTAATAGCCAAAAAGTGGAAACAACTCAAATAACTTAACTGTCCATCAGCAGGTGTGAATACCAGAACAAATTCTGGTATATCCAGGAATGGACTACTACTCAGAAAAAAAGTTGGTTTAGGGAGGTGCTGAGGGAACTGTTCTACATTTCGATTTTGGTGGTGCTTACATAGCTATATGCATTTGTCAAAACTCACAGAACACTTCACATTAAATTTTGCCTTAATTAAAAAAATATGAAAATAAGGATCTATTCTATACTTTTTGGTGAAATTAAAGATTTAATCCTAATGCTGTGTTTTCCTTAGTTTTTAAAAATTATTATTAAGGTATAATTTACATTCAGTAAATTCTTCTTTCCCCTTTATAGTCAACCCCTCTCTATACCCCCAACCTCTGGCAATCACTGATCTGTGTTCTGTCCCCATGATTTGCCTTTTCCAGGATGTCATATAAAGTGAGTCATCCTGCTCAACCTGGCCGTAATGCTGCTCTGGTTGCTCAGCACACCCCCCTTCTCGTACCTGGGCATCCCTGCCCTGTTCAGCCCCATTGCTGCCAACTATTTGGTTCCTGCTCCATGGTCGGGCCTCTGACAGCCCCTTTGAATAAACCAGACACTCCACATGTGTCTTGAGAATGTAAATAAATAAATAATCATACAGTAGGTAATTTTTGTGTCTGGCTTTAACTTAGCATAATGGATTTAAGATTCATTCCTGCTACTGTGCAGGCAGTTCAGTACTTAATATTGCTGAATAGTAGTATTCCATCATATACATGTATCACAATTTGTTTATCCATTCCCTGACTGAGGAATGGCTGTGTTATTTCCAGTTTTTAGTTTTCTTTAGGTTTCGCTGGGTTTTTTAAGAAGAAAAAAAGCTTATAAAAGTAATAGCTGTGTACAGGGTGAAGCTCTAAGCATGGTTATTAAAAGCAAATACCTTCGCTTATCCCTTTCTCTCACTTCCATCCCCAGGTGTAACTGCTCTTATGGATTGGAATGTATCCTTCCAGACCTTTTTCCATATACATACATTCCCACACACAAACCAACACACATGTATATAGTTGGTGGGGATATTTTTAACAGAAATCAGATGATAGTGTATATTTTGTTCTGCAGCTTGCATTCTTTACTGAGCAGTGTATCTGAAACCTTTTATGCCTGCTCATATAGATCAATCGTATTTTTTTAACATATATGTGATATTCTGTGGTATATCTAGTTTTGCTGGCCATTCCTCTATTGTTGAATATCATGTTATCTCTGATTTTTCCATATTACAAATAATCCAACTGTTAGCTTTTTATATAAAAATCATGATTCCACTGCTTGAGTATTCCTGTAGATTTCTAGAAGTAGAATTATTCAAAGGGTATGTATACTTAATTTTTTTTATATACCACTCAGTAGCTTGCAAATAGGTTGCATCAATTAGTGCTTTCAAAAATAGCATATGGTAATATTGGATACTGTAGATGATGTAGAGTAAAAGTTTTTTGTCCTAAAAAGGTATGTTGTAAGAAATCCCTCATAGAGTAACAGATTTTATGTTCTTAATGTCTCTAATCAAGCATCTTAAAAGAATAAAAAATAAGGTTGTTCTCAGTGAAATAAACATATACATATTATATTTCATCCTAATACTCTAGTATATTGATTTCTAAAGAGGACACTATGAAAAGTTTAGTTACTAAAGAATATAATTTTCATTTTAACTATTATAGCTTAATTGGAATTTTTATCACAAAAAAATAAAAATATAAAATCCACTATGAATTTTTTCCCCAGTCTGAGGATTACTATGACATGAGGCGGCTGTATACAATTTTGGGGTCTTCTCTATTTTACAAGGTAAGTTGAAGCTGGAAGTCTAAATGTCCAGCATTGTATAAACAGACCTAAATTGTCAAAAATTTTACAAACATGAAAAATACATTTATCTCTTTTCTTTTAAATGTAGGTACCATAAGATTAAGATCTTTCTCACTTTAGAGACAGGGTCTTGCTCTGCCACCTAGGCTAGAGCGCAGGGTACAGTCATAGCTCACTGCAACATCCAATTTCTGGGCTTAAGCAATTCCGAGGCTCAAGCAATCCTCCTGCCTTGGCCTCCCAAAGTGCTGGGATTACAGGCGTGAGCTACCATGCCTGACCAGATTAAGACCTTAAAACAAGATTTGCATCTACATATTTGTAAATATAATAAATATTTATGGTTTCATTGCATTCTAAAGCATTTATAAAGTATTTACAAATGTGCACAGGAGAAACAATACTCAAAGGACCAAGTTTGTAAGAGAGAACAATATTTTTCTGGATTTCCTTTTGAAAGAGTGTATTTTTTATCCTGTGTTGAAAAGTTGGCTGGGCACGGTGGCTGACACCTGTAATTCCATCACTTTGGGGGACCGAGGGAGGTGGATCACCAGAGGTCAGGAGTTCAAGATCAGCATGTCTAACATGGTGAAACCTCATCTCTACTAAAAATCCAAAAAAAAATTACCTGTGCATGGTGGTGCGTGCCTATAATCCCAGCTACTCAGGAGGCTGAGGCAGGAGAATGGCATGAACCCGGGAAGCAGAAGCTGCAGTGAGCTGAGTTCACGCCACTGCACTCCAGCCTGGGTGACAGGGTGAGACTCTGTCTCAAAAAAAAAAGAAAAGTAACCTACATCTTTTAAATAAATCTTATATAACATTTAGTTCATGTTCATGTAAAGCAAATAAAGCATCACATGAATTTAAGTACTTTTATTTTTAAAAAAGGATTTTTAAACACAATGTAAAACATATCTAACAAAGAAGCCATAGGGAAGGGTGCACAGTGAAAAGTCTCTGTCATGACCCCTGCTTCTTGACTTTCCATTATCAGAATTCAGTTCTTTTCTAATTTTGCCAAATACTGAAGCTATACTGTGCAGAGGTGATCTTGCTTTGTGCTTAAGTCTGCCTGTTGGTAGACCTTAAATTATCATTTGAGCTCTACTTTGACCTCAAGAAAAAAAAAAAAAAAGAAAACATCTACTATATCTTCATTTACACCATTTGAAACTAGAATATTCTAAATCAAGTAAAGAAGTGTTTATAAAACTCTTAGAAATATATTATGGGACTATTGCTTTATATCACTGGTAGACTTTTGCTCTTTGTGGTTAAATTCAAGGGTTATTTGATATGCAATCATTTACCCAAGGATGATCTTATTGATATTGCCGTATACTGTCGCCACTATTGCCTGCTGCCTTTAGCAGCAAAACAAAGAATTGGTCAGTTGATAATATGGAGAGAAGTGTTTCCTCAGTATCACCTCCGACCTTTGGCAGACTCAAGCGCTGAAGTCTTTCCGGAACCTGAAGGAAGATATTTTTTGCTAGTTGTTGGCTTGGTAAGTTTACCTCAGCTTCTTTCTTGGGATTTTTCTTCTTTTCTTTTCTTTTTTTCTTTTCGGCTGGGATTGAGGGATGTAGCGGTAGGTAGGTATCTATTAACTGTCTAAATAAATACACAAACAAACATGCTCATGTAAAATTATTAGTTTGTCTAATACCAGTATTCAAGGAAATGTTACATGCCTCATCCATTTAATACTCATGGACAAATATTAATAAAATCTAAGAAAAGATTTTAGCAGGTTTCTAAAGTCTTTTGTTCCCCTTTCTATAGTGGTTTTTTCCATTGGCTTGTTTTGGAGATGGAGGGAGGCATGAAAAGAATATAGAATCAGAAACAGAATAAATGTGCAATTGCAGATGAAAGGACTTCCAGTAACTGAGGCTCTTGACAGCTATCTTAGGGAATTCTGTGTCTCAAAAGAAGTGGTTTGATGGTATATCAAGATAAGGCAGTGTAATTGTTTTCAGCTGGGATCAGGAAGCATTGATAATAACCAAAAAGGAAAGATGAGGGAGGAATTTTTAATAATCATCACATGATTATGCCATATGCCTCTATATCTTCAATATTTATAAATTTATACATGCACATTTTATGTAAATATTTTCATGGTAGCTAAACCTACATTTGTATTTTTTCCCTATAGAAACATTATATGCTATGTGTACTATTAGAAGCTGGAGGTTGTGCATCCAAAGCTATTGGGAGTCCTGGACCAGACTGTATATATGTGGATCAGGTCAAAACAACTCTTCACCAGCTGAATGGAGTAGATTCTCGCATAGATGAACGGCTAGCATCTTCTCCAACCCCCTGTTTGTCTTGTGCTGATTGGTTCCTTACTGGATCACGTGAAAAAACAGATAGCTTGACCACTTCCCCTATTCTCAGTAGGCTACAAGGTACTTCCAAAGTAGCAACTTCTCCAACATGCAGAAGAACCCTTTTTGGTGACTATTCCTTAAAGACACGTAAGCCCAGTCCTTCCCGTAGCAGTGGAGGATCTGACAATGGTTGTGAAGGTGGAGAAGATGATGGCTTTAGCCCCCATACTACACTGGATGCAGTACGGAAGCAAAGAGAATCTCAGGGCTCTGATGGTTTAGAAGAAAGGGGGACCTTGCTTAAGGTGTGTACTCATTCAAGTGTGTACATTCTGGGAGCTAAGTTGTCTCTCTAGTCCTTGTTTTATAATTGCAAGACAGTTTTTTTAGTGGCATACCATTCTTCATTTGACATGGTGGTTATTTCAATCATTGCTGGCAAACCAATGATTTTGAACCAAAAAGAAAAAGAAATATCAGGCCAGGCATGGCAGATTGCTAGAGGCCAGGAGTTCGATACCAGCCTGGCCAACGTGGCAAAACCTAGCCTCTAATAAAATTACAAAAAAATTGCCAGGCATGGTGGTGCACACCTGTGATCCCAGATACATCGGGAGGCTGAGGCACAAGAATTGCTTAAACCCAGGAGGCAGAGGTTGCAATGATCTGAGATTGTGCCACTGCATGATTTGTCACTCCAGCCTGGGTGACAGAGTGAGACTCTGTCTCAAAAAAAAAAAAAAGAGAGAGAGAGAGAAATCTCAAGTAATAAGACAAGAGTTCCTTGACATCCATATCTGTTTAACAGTACTTAGAAATAGGAAAGCTTTAATTTCAATTTCCGTGTTCATCTCTTTCCTATTTGCAATGACAACAGAGAGCATCCAAGCTGTGGGGCCTGTTGGGGGCTGATCTGACTAAATAGCCAATGAAATGTTCAGCAAAGAGAATCAGAACCCTAAATGTGTGTATGTGTGTGTGTATGTGTCTGTGTATATGTGTATTATCCTATTTTTATAGATTTTAAAGTCTGAGCCTTTGTAATACTTAAAGATTTTAAAGTTGACTCTAAAGAGGGTGTTCATTTTTCAGATCATTTTTCCTGATTTTTTCCCATGAAAATACCATAAAATATCCAAATGATTATCAAAACATTCATCCTGGGAGGCTTTGTACTTATTCTAGTGATGCTGTCATCTTTCAAAACACTTTTGAAACTTGTCATTTGGGTAGATGGAGGTGATACCAGATGAGGAGTCTGAGAAGGAGCACAAATAAAATATGAGATGCTAGTAGCATGGCATAAATAACCAGATGCAATCTCCTCATACCAAACAATAGAATACTTTTGGACCTCTAAGTGGGGTGTATTTGGAAGTACTCACATCAGTACCATACCTGTTATCCCAGTTGATGAAATTGGTAGGAAATAGTCTAAAAGGATTTGGACAGACTAAAGAATTACCAAGCCATGAATAGCTCCTCAGAGAAATTGAGTTAACCTTTAAGATTCAGCCATTCAACAAATGTTGATTGAATACCTACTAAGTGCCAAGGGCCATACTACACAAAGGAGATACAGAGATGAGTAAGACACTGCCCCTGACTTTGAGGAGTGCAGAGTCTAGGGAGGGAGACAAGTATGCATACATACAAACTTGGTAATGGCTCTGGTAGGAGGTTTTCAGGGAACACCATCATGCCCTCCCAGGACATGACCCTGGGATCCCTGTCAGCCATGGATAAGCCAAGAGGTACAAGTTAGCATCAAAAATACTTAAAAGAAGCATTGCAAGTGGTAAGTAGTTCTCTTAGAAGGATGTTTAATTTTTAAATTGTTTCTGCTATATGATTCCAATCTTAGATATAAACCAATCTACTTAACTGTATTTTTCAGGTCACTAAAAAGAAGTCTACTCTTCCAAATCCATTTCATTTGGGAAACTTGAAAAAGGAACTTCCAGAAAAAGAATTAGAAATATATAATACAGTGAAGTAAGAAACTTTCTTCTTCTTATTCACTTAAACTCTTTCAGGAAGTTTTACAGTGAGAAAGTACAATTCTATAACATGTATTTTACTCAACAAATGTAATTTTGATATATCTTACATATTAAAGGTAAGATCTGTGGTATTTCCTTAATATTTCATTACACATTTAGGAAAATTACCATATTAGTATTGTAAGAGAGAAAAAACAAAGTAATATTTCCTTTTTTTTTTTTTTTTTTTTTTGAGACGAAGTCTTGCTCTGTCGCCCAGGCTGGAGTGCAGTGGCGCAATCTCGGCTCACTGCAAGCTCCACCTCCTGGGTTTCCGCCATTTCTCCTGCCTCAGTCTCCCGAGTAGCTGGGAGAATACAGGTGCCCGCCACCACGCCCGGCTAATTTTTTGTATCTTTAGTAGAGACAGGGTTTCACCGTGTTAGCCAGGATAGTCTCGATCTCCTGACCTTGTGATCCGCCCGCCTCGGCCTCCCAAAGTGCTGGGACTGCAGGCGTGAGCCACCATGCCCGGCCACAAAGTAATATTTCAAAATGTGGAAGTCCCCCTTTATCTCTCCACAGGTAACCTCTCTTTTGTATATTTAATATAATTTTTAAATTAGAGTTTACTATTTTTTGGAGTGTTTGGTGGATGCAGCGGTGTGCTGTCCAGTTACACCTTAGCTCAGGGTATTCCTTCCCAACACTTGAGAATGGTGGCTGCTAATGCCTCACAGATCCCTAGCCTTGTCACTCCCCTGGCTGTGTCCTACATGGAAACTTGTTGACTCAGCTAAGGTTACACTCCTCCCTGGGAGGAGCCCACTTCTAATGACTAATAAATAAGTGAGTACAAAGGCTTGGCCCCTTGCCTAAATTGAAGACAACTCTGAAAGGCCAGCCAAGCTTCACAGTACCCAGTAGTATCGGCTGAGACTTGTTGCCACTGCAGGACAGTTCATCTTCTCCCTCTGCTCAGTTCTGCTGAGTCACTCCACCCCATAGCTGTTTTTCCCAAGAGTACTTCCTAATAAGTTTCCTCCCGGTATATCTCGCTCTCAGAGTTTGGGAACCAGGGAACTGGTCCCTTAACACTCTCTTTAGAAAGTAGGTATAATTTCAAACTTGCATCAAGTAGGGAATTCTGAGGTAAAAGAAACTGAGTGAGGAGAGAATGTTTAGCAACTTAAACTGTCTGTAATTATTATAATATGAAATGTTATATATTCACTTCTTATGCACTTATGTGGTGACACGCAGGTCCGCCTGCGCCTTGGCAGGTATTTATGACATCATGTGTGGGATCAACTAGTGTAATAAACTCAATTGCTTACTTTTATTTGAACAACTAGATACATACTAATAGAATTCACACACACACATACACACAGTACAGAGCTACCACATTCTTAACTACTGAAACACTTTACAATAAGTTCAAATGTATGTGTTACAAAGTTGTTAGGAAATTCTTTTTTTCTTAAGTCAAGACAAAAAGTAACTTGTCTGCATAAAATAATATATCAGAAATCTGATGCGTTAAAATTTAGTATTTAATGCCTCCAAATATAAATGTTTAATTTTTGATAGTTAAACATGATTTTAAGACAAATAAATTGGAACCAAACCTTTTATGGAACCCAAAAGTACCCTCACAAAACTCTAGTCTTCCATTTAACAAAAACTATTGCTCAGAAATTTTATTAACTCCGTATCAGAATTTTTAAAATATGTATGTTATATTGGCATTGTCTCTAGTAAAAGGAGACTCTTTCTCTCAAGTTCAATGTTTTAAACATAAATTCACATGTGGTGTAAATCATAGGCTCTCCTATTTTAAAAGGTGCCAAAGATGTGTGTTTATTCTCATTATTGATATGCAAAGGTGTTTTTATACGATGCAGTTCATTTTAAAAGCATGATATAAAACAGGATGTAATATATTATTCTAACCTATATGCACCTATCTTTGTAAAATAAAATATATATAATATATTGAAAATAACATATACAAAACATCTCATTCAGTAACTAAGTCCTACCCATTCTGCATTCCAGTAGTTCTTGAATCCATTCACCCCCCTATTGACACTGCCCTAGTTTAGGCTCCCATTTTCTTTCACCTGGTTTTATTGCAACAGCTTCCCAACTCCTGGCCTACCCTAAACCCATTCTCTACTGCACGAGTGACCTTTCTGAAGACTAAATCTGATTTTATCTGCTTTTTTGTACAAATCTTTTGTCTTCCTACTGGGTAATTGCTTATTTGGTGATTTTTAAAACTTTTAGTTAATATATACTGAGTGAGTTTATGGTTTCAAGAGCTAAACCTGCTTATTGTATTGTGGTTTATTTTTTAAAGAACAATGTAAAAGATAACAAAAATGTTAATTCTGACCCCCCCCAAAAGAAACTTATTTTGTAAAGAATAATGTTGTAAGTTATTTTGTAAAGAATAATTTTTGTTCTGTACTTTTTTTAACCTGAAGATCTCCAGATTAAAATGTATGTTTTAAATTATTTTCCTTTTAAAATAATCATAATTCCTTTCATCTTATTTAAGTTTTTATTTCTGGAAAGGTGGTCAGCCACCAGTTGTTAATGAGCCAGCTACCCTGTGGAAAAGTGAAAGAAGAATTTGTAAATTATTTCCTTCCCTCCCTATCCCTGGTCTCAAAAGAGTTCCAAAGCCATAAATCAATGATAAGAAGTTTATTTGGATCATGCTGTCTGATTAACTGTTTAACAATAATTTAATCTGCATGGATGAGCTAGGCAGTATCTAGGCTAAGAGCTGAAATATGCCTTTTTCTAGTCTCTATGCTATGGCTGGAAAAAAAAAATCAACTGATGATATTTTTTAGTATAGACAGCCTTTTACCATAGAAGGATTAAAATGGGGCAGCTTGAGTATTTGAGATGCAGGAGGGGAATTGCTGTAATCAGAAGTCAGCCCTGGAGAGGAAAAAGCACGGTTTTACAGAACAAGCTTCAGAGTCAGCTAAAATCTGCCATTTGGCTATGCGACCTCTCAAGCATGTTAATCCAAGTCCTCTGACCATTGATTTTCTCATGGCTAAAATGAGGATAGTAATGGATGTTATCTTGCAATATCATTATGAGAATTAAGACTAAGGTATTTTAAAACACCTACCCTGGTATATAGAGGGCATTCACTATACGTTAACTATTATTATTATTTCGTTGTTGCTATTACTATTGTTCTTTTGCTTATCTTACTACTGGTAGAAATTAACAGTATTTATAGGTTCTGCTGGCCTGTTTGAGACTAAACCAGGGAGGAAAGATGGGGAAGAAAGTAAAAAATGAGTAAGAGAACATAGGAAAGAAAGAAGATAGTAATAATGAGAAGTGGTAGAATACTACCACGAATTGTCATGGTATTATAGAATATTAATCAAATTTTTCAGGTTGTAATAATAATTTGATTTTTCTTCAGGAACATCAGTTTGACTATCATGGTAAAATACTTTAATGCTACTAACTTAAATGTATTTAGTTTGTTGGAAGGTATTTTTATATGTGGTCTACCCTAGAGTGATATCTTGTTTATGGCTTATAGCTATCTGGTTCAGACACGAGCTGAATTATTTAATACCAACCATGGAAAAAGAGGCAGTTAGCCAATTTGGGTTGTTTAGCAAAGGAGTGATTAAGTTACTTGCAAATGAATTGATATTTACTTATCCTTGCATAACATGTAGTATTTGCCTCCATTAAGGGAATGAATAACCCTAGCTTGTACTTCAGTTAAGGATGAAGAGGGAATTAAATGTTTAGCCCAGTTTCCCATCCCTAATTATACTACTAATATTATATTGTAGATAAAAGCTTGTAAGAAGTCTACTAAATTCAAAATGAACCAATATTTCAAAATTTACTAAAATTTCTTTTTTCTTATTTTTTCTTTTTAAGACTGACATCTGGTCCTGAGAACACACTTTTCCATTATGTTGCCTTAGAAACAGTGCAAGGAATCTTTATTACTCCTACCCTTGAAGAGGTGGCACAGCTAAGTGGCTCTATCCACCCTCAGCTAATAAAGAATTTCCATCAGTGTTGTCTCTCCATTCGTGCAGTTTTCCAACAGACACTGGTTGAAGAGGTAGGGCACTGCTATAAATACAGTTTTCCGCCAGTTTAATTTCCAGATCTCTAAGCATTCTGTTCTGTAATCAACATGCCCAGCATTGTTTTCATTTAATTAAGTTTTTTTAAATAGTCACTCAATCTAACTTGGGTGCCAAAACGTTTATACTCACAGTACTTCAAGGTTTTATTTCATACTGAATTTGATGTCTTGGGTTACTATTTCAGGAAGTGGTAGACCTGTGTTTTCTACAGCAAAGCACAATACAGTCATTTGTAATGTAAATCAACCTTCCACATTTCATATCTGTGACTCAACCATTACTTGGGTAATAATATCTACCAATTGGTTCCTAAAATAACTTTGATAATTCTTTAAGTATTTAGCCAACAGTATAAGGTATTTTGGAATATAATGGGTTAAGGCAGGGGTCCCCAACCCCCGGGCCACATACCAGTAGCTGTCTGTGGCCTATTAGCAACCAGGCTGCACAGCAGGAGGTGAGTGGTGGGCCAGGGAGTCTTATCGCCTGAGCTCTGCCTCCTGTCAGATCAGCAGCGCGTAGGAGTGCAAACCCTGTTATTGTGAACTGTGCATGTGAGGGATCTAGATTGTACACTTATGAGAATCTAATGCCTGATGATCCGAGGTAGAACAGTTTCATCTTGAAACGATCCCTCCCCCAGAAATTGGTCTCCAATGCCAAAAAGATTGGAGACCGCTGGGTTAAGATATAGCTATAGACACAAGACTAATGCAAATTTTTTGGCATTTGGTTGGTTGATTGCTTGCTTGCTTTTCTATCCAGGATGAAGTTTCATTGAATGTTGTCACCTGTTGAATAAATAATAATGCTGTATACAATTACAATATCAGATCGTTTAAATGGCTGGAAAAGATAGGTGTTGATTTCTTGAAAAGGATAAAACATATAGAGGTTTACTTGTGACATTATACAGCCAAAAAACCTCTCTGAAAATGATTGTAATGTATATAGCAGTACATGTGTTAAGGATGCCAAATTTGTGAAGAACTTGGGTTTAAAAGTGGAAGAACATTGGACAAGGAATAAGGAATCCCGGACTGAACCTCACCTCCTCCTGTTTCCTTAGCTATGAAGCTAGTGGGATAGATTTTATCTTCTCTCCAGGCTCATTCAGCAGTAAAATTTTATGTCTTATAGGATTTTTTCTTTGAGTCCTCAGAAATTGTTATTCTGTAGAAATACTGTGTTTGACCATATATTCCTATATGCTTTGGGTTCTTATGCTCCTATTTTCCTTTTTAACATAACTGATAAATGTTATAAAGGAATATTTCATTTACTTATTTGATAATATTTAGTAATATAAATTAGTTTTCCCTATCTTATTTAAACATTGAGGTACCTACTCTGCACCAGACACTATTCTAGGAGCTTGGGATACAACAGTGGACAAAACAAAGTTTCTTCCTTCATGAAGCCTATTTTCTAATGGAGGAAAGAAAAGAATTAGAAAATAGTATGCTAAGAAGAACCAGTGTCAAGCAAAATAATAGAACATGGTAAGGATGAGAGGTGGGAGTGACTATTTTGAAAGGTCTCTGATCATGTCAAGTGATACTTGAACAGAGACCTGAATGAAGTAAGGGAGCAAGCCATGTGGCTCTCTCGGGGCAGAGCTTCCAGCAAGGGGAACAGCAAATGCAAAGCTGCAGAGCATTACTGCCTGAGCTCCGCCTCCTGTAAGGTCAGCTGTGGCATTAGATTCTTATAGGAGTGCAAACCCTACTGTGAACTGTCCATGCAAGGGATCTAGTTGCCCAGTTCTTACGCAATTCTAATGCCTGATGATCTGAGGTGGAACAGTTTCATCCCGAAATCATCCCCTAGGGGCTGGAAGAGTGCTGGAGCAGACTGAGAAGAGAGTGGAGGAAGAGATCACAAAGGTAGCAGGGCCAGCTTATGCATGGCCAGGTAGACTATGATAAGGACTTTAGGCTTTGTTCTGAAAGAGATGATACATTCTTGAACAGTTCTGCCCAAAGAAGGGACATGATCCATAATTTTTTTTAAAGAATCACTCAGGCTACTGTGGGTAGAACAGGAAACAGAATAGCAAGGGTGGAGGCAGGGACCAGTTAGGAGGCTTTCAAAATTCTGAAAGCAAGAAATGATTATAGCTTCTGGATTCTGGATATATTTTGGAGGGCAAACCAAAAGAATTTGTTGAAGGATTAGATAAAAGCTATGAAGGAAAGAAAAGGATCAAGAATCACTCCACTGTTTGGCCTGAAACTTATAAGAAATCTTTATAGTCCAAATGAGTCATTGTTTTGCTAATGCTTTTAATCAGTATGAAATTTAGAGATTATGGGTCAAAGGAAGACAAAATGCTGCTTTAAATATATATTTTTCAATTTATTACAGAATTATCTGCTCATTTAGAACATATTTATTAAGCACCTACTATGAACCAGGCACTGCTGGTTTTAAAACACACAAAGATTGTATATTGTCTGTGCCCTCGGGAAAAAAGTTTATAATTTTCTATCTTCCACTGTGGAAGACAGGTCTATAAACTGCTAATATAATATAATGCACATACTAATAACATAGGGCTGTGAACAAAGTGTTCCCTAGAAAAGTCAAGGGACACTTTATCCATGAAGCCTCCTTTAGGATATGGTATTTAAATATTGAGGAAGAGTAGAAATTTTCCTGCAGATAAGAAGAATGTCATTGCAGGCACTTAAGTATTTGGATCAGCCAATTCAAATTAATCTGTGAAAACATTTTAAAGTAACACTAGTAATACCAGTTAATACTAACAATACTTATTAATTTACAGAAAAAGCAAGGGCTAAATAGTAGAGACCGTTCAGATTCCGCAAAGTCGGTGTCTTCTCTTAACCCTGTTAAAGAACATGGTGTGTTGTTTGAATGTTCACCTGGAAACTGGACTGATCAGAAAAAAGCACCACCAGTTATGGCCTACTGGGTAGTAGGGTAAGTGGGAAAAAAAGTATTTGAAAGTAAAGTGTTAGAAAAATGAAAGAAAACTGATAAAGGAGATTAACATTTTAAAATGTAGGCATGGAATTTTTAATCTAGCTATAATATTTTAATATATTTTATTTTATTTGCTAAGTATCTCCTTTAAATCCCTTCCAAGTATTTTTCTATTAAAAATTACCTTACAAAATTAAATTTTAGTAATACACTGAAAGAATAATTCCACAGTTTTTCTCCTCTTCCCTTTTTCCCCTGCTTCGTTCATTTCTTCCTCCTCTCTCCTTTCTTTTCCTCTTTCCATCCTCTCCCTTTTCTTCCCTTCCCCTCTCTCTGCCCTGTGCCACAAGACCATGCCCAATCAGGACCCTGCCCACCTTTGTTTCCATCTCCTGTCTTCCTTCCTCTTCTGTCTGCTGTGCACCAGCTGCATGAGTACCAATCAAATCTTGTTTCTGCTGTTCCTTCTGCGTGGGATATTCTATCCCTTGACCTTTGCACTTCTGCATCCTTGGTATTCAGACCAGTGCTAACAGGTAGGTCATCTTGTCAGAGAGGATCCATGATCTCTTTCTCTCATCAAAGTGGCTACTCAGTTATTCTCTATATCACTCTTTTATTGTTTATTTTCTTGTCCTTCTCCACCTCCCACCCTCATTACAGTGGCAGCTTCATGAGGTCAGGAATTGTATCTGTCTTGTCCACCACTGGCACCTGCAACAGTACCTGGCACATAATGTAGTCACTTGATAAATATGTGATGGTTGAGTAGATGAGACCGTGCCTGGCAAAATGTGGAACTGGTGGTGGGGTTGGTGGGCGGTGGGCGGTATGGCAAACACAGAGACATAGTCATTGCCTCTACGGGCCTTATATCTAGCAAAAGAATTATGAAATATGCTCAAATATCTATATATTTATATATCTATATTATATAGATATAGAGAGAAATCCTATATATGTGTGTGTTGTATATACATATATGTAAAATGAATTAGGTGATACAACCAAATGCTATAGGAATTCTGAAGAGGGGGCAAAATCTAATGAACAAAGACCCAAACAATGGAAATTATACAGCACAGCAGTGAGCAGACTGGTTTGCCAGGATGGTAGAGGAATGACATATACAAAGATTAAGTGAAAGATCAAGTTGGGAACCTAAGTTAGGACCACTGCAGAAGGTTCTTTGAGTTGGAGTAAAGGTTGGTGGAGGAAAGGGCACAGAATTAGTTGGGAGTAGGGGTAGTGGACATGTACCAGGTAGTATTAAGCTGTATGATACACACTTTACAGACATTATCCAAAGCAGAAATTCCCATATGCTGGTCCATGGGATTTAGAATCACCTGGGTCACTTGTTAAAATCTGAGCTCCCTGGGCCCCAGATCTACTAAATCAAAATCTATGAGAGTGGGAATCTGTATTTTTAGTAAGCTCCCTTGTGATTATCATATGAACCAGGCTTGGGAACATCAGTGTAAGCTTAATTCCATGTAGTTGTACTACTGGAAGATTAAACTGGGAGCAGCCAATGGAATGATGTGCACATGAGAGAGACTAGAAATGAGAAGACCAGTTAGGCACACATGTAGCTGTTCAGTGGAGTGTTAACTACGTTCATGACTATAGGAATAGAAAGAATCAAAAGATATTGAATTATGATAACGCAGATTTATGCAGAACAGAAATTTAAGAAAATCAGGCAGAATTATCTCCAGTTTAAATAGATCAGTTTATATAAATTAATATTGATTAAATAGATTCAAATTTTGACTCTTTAAGAAAATCAAATAAAATTTCAATGTCAATTCCAATTCAGTTCTGTTTGCCAAAAAAAGCTACCATTTATTTAATGTTTTAATAAAAATTAAATGTTAGAAAGTAAAGAGCAATAAAATATTTAATAACTATTGTGCCTATGATGCTAGTGCTATTGCCTTTATTGTAATAACTAGATTTACTATTTAAAAACTTGGTGGCATTGTAATACATATTGATAAAATAGGATTATTACACTCCAGAGCGATAAAAACTAATTGTCCTAAGGCATATATTATTTATTTAGAAATAAATCTAGCTGCTTTCTCCCTAGTATAGATTTAGATTTGTGGATTTTAAATTTACTACTGATACTTTCAGAAACAAAAAATTAATTGGACAGTTAGAGTTTTTGTTGTTGTTGTTGTTGTTTTAATTTCTGAAATGAGTGTGTTCTTTTCTTCTGCAGGAGACTTTTTCTTCATCCAAAACCTCAAGAACTTTATGTCTGTTTTCATGACTCAGTCACAGAAATTGCCATTGAAATAGCTTTTAAATTGTTCTTTGGGTTAACCTTGTAGCCGTGCTTTCTTGATGTGTAGAAATACATGCATAGAGGATTAAACACTGTCAGAATTGCTGAAATCAATACAAAAAGAGATAAAATTTAGCTTCTTTTTACTTTTCAATATTGAACATAATATTGTTAAATATTGATATGAAATGCTGTTGGATTTGATATGTTAAATCTTAATGTAATATTGTAAGACTTTTGAGAATATACTTGATCAAAATGTGAAAGAAGGGATTGTTAACTTATTGCTATTTTGATATATAATGTTAATTTATTGACTAGTTTGAAATAATGTGAAGTTTTTTATATAAGATTAATATAGGAAATGTTTACTCTTGAAAACTATCCAATTTGTTTATTTTTCTCAAAATTCATACTGATATCTGGTGAAACAATTATGATTGGGAGGAGGTGACCAGGTGCTGTAGCTAAGTAGTGCTATGACCATGAGCAAGTTTTTGTACCTCTCTAAGCTCAGAGTTTTCATGTAAAATGAGATGATTGCATTGAGGTTTCAAAAGTCCCTCTTAAGTAAAATGTGCTTTTATTTTATTTTAGTTTTAGTTTTAGTTCTGGGGTACATGTGCAGGATGTGCTGGTTTGTTACATAGGTAAACATGTGCCATGGCGGTTTGCTCCACCTATCAACCTGTCACCTAGGTATTAAGCCTAGCATGCATTAGCTATTTTCCCTAATACTCTCCCTACCCCCACAATAGGCCCCGGTATGTATGGTTCCCCTCCCTTTGTCCATGTGTTCTCATGGTGAGCTCCCACTTACAAGTGAGAACCTACATTGTTTGGTTTTCTGTTCCTGCGTTAGTTTGCTGAGGATAATGGCTTCCAGCTTCATCCATGTCCCTGCAAAGGACATGATCTCATTCCCTTTTGTGGCTGCATAGTATTCCATGGTGTATATGTACCACATTTGCTTTATCCAGTCTATTGCTGATGGGCATTTGGGTTGATTCCATGTCTTTGCTACTGTAAATAGTGCTGTAATAAACATACATGTACATGTATCTTTATAGTAGAATGATTTATATTCCTTTGGGTAATGGGATTGCTGGGTCAAATGGCATTTCTGGTTCTAGATCTTTGAAGAAGCACCACACTGTCTTCCACAATGGTTGAACTAATTTACATTCCCAACAGTGTAAAAGCATTCCTATTTCCCCACAACCTTGCCAGCATCTGTTATTTCTTGACTTTTTAATAATGGCCACTCTGATTGGTGTGAGATGGTATCTCATTGTGGTTTCGATTTGCATTTCTCTAACAATCCATGATATTGTGCTTTTTTTTTTCATATGTTTGTTGGCTGCATGAATGTCTTCTTTTGGGAAGTGTCTGTTCATGTCCTTTGCCCAGTTTTTAATGTGGTTGTTTTTTTTTTTTTTTTCCTTGTAAATTTGTTTGAGTTCCTTATAGATTCTGAATATCAGATCATTGTCGGATGGATAGATTGCCAAAATTTTCTCCCACTCTGTAGGTTGCCTGTTCACTCTGATGATAGTTTCTTTTGCTGTGCAGAAGGTCTTTAGTTTAACTAGATCCCATTTGTCAAGTTTTGCTTTTATTGCAATTGCTTTTGTGATTGCATCATGGAATCTTCGCCCATGCCTATGCCTTGAATGGTATTGCCTAGATTTTCTTCTAGGGATTTTATAGTTTTGGGCTTTACATTTAAGCCTTTATTCCATCTTGAGTTAATCTTTGTATAAGGTGTGACGAATGGGTCCAGTTTCTATTTTCTGCATATGGATAGCCAGTTCTCCCAGCGCCATTTATTAAATAAGGAGTCCTTTCCTCATTGCTTGTTTTTCTCAGGTTTGTTGAAGATCACATGGTTGTAGATGTGCAATCTTATTTCTGAGTTCTCTATTCTGTTCCATTGGTCTATGTGTCAGTTTTTGTACCAGTACCATGCTGTTTTGGTTATTGTAGTCTTACAGTACAGTTTGAAGTCTGGTAGTGTGATGCTTCCAGCTTTGGTCTTTTGGCTTAGGATTGCCTTGGCTATACAGGCTCTTTTTTTGGATTCCATATGAATTTTAAAATAGTTTTTTTCTAATTCTGTGAAGAATAACAATGGTAGTTTAATGGGAATAACATTGACTCTGTGAATTACTTTGGCCATACGGCTATTTTCATGATATTGATTCGTCCTGTCTATGAATATGGAGTATTTTTCCATTTGTTTGTGTCCTCTCTGGTTTCCTTGAGCAGTGGTTTGTGTTCTCCTTGAAGAGGTCCTTCACTTCCCTTGTTAGCTGTATTCCTAGGTATTTCATTCTCTTTGAAGCAGTTGTGAGTAAGAGTTTATTCATGATTTGGATCTCTGCTTGCCTGTTGGTGTATAGGAATGCTGGTGACTTCTGCACAATGATTTTGTATCTTGACACTGCTGAAGTTGCTTATCAGCTTAAGAAGCTTTTGGGCTGAGACAATGGGGTTTTCAAGATATAGGATAATGTCCTCTGCAAACAAAGATATTTTGACTTCCTCTCTTCCTGTTTGAATACCCTTTATTTCATTCTCTTGCCTGATTGCCCTAGCCAGAACTTCCAATACTATGTTGAATAGTGGTGAAAGAGGGCATCCTTGTCTTGTGCTGGTTTTCAAGGGGAATCCTTCCAGCTTTTGCCCATTCAGTATGATATTAGCTGTGCGTCTGTCATAAGTGGCTCTTATTATTTTGAAATATGTTCCTTCAATAACTAGTTTATTGAGAGTTTTTAACATGAAGGGATGTTGAATTTTATTGAAGGCCTTTTCTGCATCTATTGAGATAATCATGTGGTTTTTGTCTTTAGTTCTGTTTGTGTGATGAATTACGTTTATTGATTTGCATATGTTGAACCAGCCTCACATCCCGGGAATGAAGCCAACTTGATCGTGGTGGATAAGCTTTTTGATGGGTTGCTGGATTCAGTTTGCCAGTATTTTATTGAGAATTTTTGCATTGATGTTCATCAGGGATATTGGCCTGAAGTCTTCTTTTTTTATTGTATCTCTGCCAGGTTTTGATATCAGGATGATGCTGGCCTCATAGAATGAGTTAGGGAGGAGTCCCTCCTTTTCAGTTATTTGTAATAGTTTCAGAAGAAGTGGTATCAGCTTCTCTTTGTATTTCTGGTAGAATTCAGCTGTAGATCCTTCTGATCCTGGGCTTTTTTTTTGGTTTGTAGGCTATTAATTACTGCCTCAATTTCAGGACTTTTTATTGGTCTATTCAGCGATTCAGCTTTTCCTGGTTCAGTCTTGGGAGGGTGTATGTGTCCAGAATTTATCCCTTTCTTCTAGATTTTCGAGTTTATTTGCACAGAGCTGTTATAGTATTCTCTGATGGTTGTTTATATTTCTGTGGGATCAGTGGTAATATCCCCTTCATCATTTTTTATTGTGTCTATTTGATTCTTCTCTCTTCTTTATTAGTCTGGCTAATGGTCTATTTTGTTAATCTTTAAAAAAAAAACAAAAAAACCATGCCCCCAGATTCATTTATTTTTTGAAGGGTTTTTCATGTCTCTAGCTCCTTCATTTCCACTCTGATCTTGGTTATTTCTTGTCTTCTGCTGGTTTTCGGGTTTGTTTGCTCTTGGTTCACTAGTTCATTTAGTTGCGATACTAGGGTGTCGATTTGAGATCCTTCCAGCTTTTTGATGTGGGCATTTAGTGCTATAAATTTCCCTCTTAACAGTGCTTTAGCTGCACCCCAGAGATTCTGGTACATTATCTCTTTGTTTTCATTGGTTTCAAAGAACTTCTTGATTTCTCTCTTAATTTCATTATTTACCCAGGAGTCATTCAGGAGCAGGTGGTTCAATTTCCATGTAGTTGTGTGGTTTTGAGTGAGTTTCTTACTCTTGAGTTCCAATTTGATTGCACTGTGATCTGAGAGACTTTGTTATTATTTCAGTTCTTTTGCATTTGCTGAGGAGTGATTTACTTCTAACTGCATGATCAATTTTAAAGTAAGTGCCATGTGGCACCAAGAAGAATGTATATTATGTTGTTTGGGGGTGAAGACATCTGTAGATATTTATCAGGTCTCACTTGATCCAGAGCTGAGTTCAAGTCCTGAATATCTTTGTTCATTTTCTGTCTCGATGATCTAATATTGACAGTGGGGTATTAAAGTCTCCCACTATTATTGTGTGGAAATCTAAGTCTCTTTGTGGGTCTCTAAGAACTTGTGTTATGAATCTGGCTGCTCCTATATTGGGTGCATATATATTTAGGATAGTTAGCTCTTCTTGTTGAATTGACCCCTTTACCAATATGTAATGCCTTTCTCTTTTTTTTAATCTTCATTGGTTTAAAGTCTTTGTCAGAAACAAGTATTGCAACCTCTCCTTTTTTCTGTTTTCCTTTTGCTTGGTAGATTTTTATCCATCCTTTTCAGTCTGTGTGTGTCCTTGCATGTGAAATGGGTCTCTTGAATACAGCACACTGATGGATTTTGACTGTTTATCCAGCTTTCCACTCTGCGTCTTTTATTTGGGGTATTTAGTGCATTTACATTTAAGGTTAATATTGTTATGTGTGAATTTTATTCTGACATCATGATACTAGTTGGTTATTTTGCTGACTTATTTATTTTTTTGCTTCATAGTGTTACTGATCTGTGTATTTCAGTGTGTTTTTTATAGTGGCTGATAACAGTTTTTCCTTTCCATATTTAGTGCTTTCTTCAGGAGCACCTGCAAAGCAGGCCTGGTGGTGACAAATTCCCTCAGCATTTGCTTGTCTGAAAAAGATTTTATTTCTCCTTCACTTATGAAGCTTAGTGTAGCCAGATATGAAATTCTAGGTTGGAAATTCTTTTCTTTAAGAATATTGAAAATTGGCCCCCAACCTCTTCTAGCTTATAAGGTTTCTGCTGAGAGGTCTGCTGTTAGTCTGATGGGCTTCCCATTATAAGTGACCTGGCCCTTCTCTCTGACTGCCCTTAACATGTTGGGCATGATGGATGATTGACATTCATCCATCTCAGCCTTAGCCCAGGTCTGTGCCCTTGCTGGAGACATGTTGCAATCTTTTGGAGAAGAGGCATTTTGACTTTCTGAGTTTTCCATATCTTTGTATTCTTTCTCATCTTCATGGGTTTATCTATCTTTGATGTTTGAGGCTGCTGACTTTTGGATGGGGTTTTTGTGGTGTCTTTTTTGTTGATGTTGTTGCACTCTGTTTTTCTTTTAGCAGTCAGACCCCTCTTCTGTAGGGCTGCTGCAGTTTGCCTGGGGTCCACTCCAGCCCCTATTCGCCTGGGTCTCTCACATGCCTGGAGATATCACCAGTGGAGACTGTGGACCAGCAAAGATGGCAGCCTGCTTCTTCCTCTGGAAACTCTGTCCCAGAGGGGCAATGGCCTAATGCTAACCGGAAAGCTCCTGTATGAAGTGTCTGGAGACTCCTGTTGGGAGGTCTCAGTCAGGAGGAGCAGGGTCAGAGACCCACTTAAATAAGCAGTCTGTCTGTCCCTTGACAGGGCGGGTGTGCTACACTGAGGGGAATCCCCCTCATCTGGGCTGCCTTGACTCACCAGAGCCAGCAGGCAGAAAAGACTAAGATCACTGATCCACGATACTGCAGCCATCCCTCCTCCTAGGGGCTTCTCTCAGGGTTGTCAGTGTTTTGTCCATTAACCCCTGGCTGACGATGCTGAGATTCTCACAGGGAAGCCCTGTCCAGTGAAGAGGAGTGAATCCAGGTCCCACCCCATCTCACCAGTGCCAGCAGCAAGGGAAACTGGCCAATTGGAGCCACAGTGATGGTGGGCTTCCCTACCTCCTTCCCCCACCTCCTCCCCCACTTCCAGAACTCAATCTTCTTAGGCAGTTTCTAGCTGCCGGGGGAGGATTCCAAGCCAGTGGGTTTTAGCTTATGGAGTTCTGTGAGGACAAGGCTGCTTGGCTGCCTGGCTTCAGCCCCCTCCCCATGAGAGTGAACAGATCTCCTGTCTCACGGGAGTTCCCAGAACCAGAATATGCAAATACTCCGGTGTCTCAGTGCTTACTCAAAGTGGCTGCCCACCCAAGCACAGCTTTGTGCTTGGGACCCAAAGCTCTGGTAGCATGCACTCAGGAGGGGACCTCCTGATCTAAAGGTTGCAAGGATCTGTGGGAAAAGCCTGGTTTTCAGGAAGGGGAAGCAAAATCCTTTACCATCTCCCTTGGCTGGAGGAGGGAGTTGCCTTTGCCGTGTGCAGCTTCCGGATGGGGTCTTGCTCCACCCTGTTTTTGCTCACTCTCCGTGGGTCAGGCCAGCCACCTAGTCAGTCCCAATAAGAGAACTTTGGTACCTCAATTGAAGATGCAGAGTTCACTCACAGTTTTCTTCCTTCTCGGTGGGAGCTGCAGAGCAGCGCTGCCTCTCTCTGACCATCTTGGCTCTCTGTTCACTCTTTTTTTTTTTTTTTTTTGCTTCTTGCATATTGGTCACCTCCTAAATTAGCAATGTCCAAGTACTTATTCCTTATCAAATACTTTTCATTAATTTAACCCAGTACGTACCTCACTGTGGGGAAGGGGGGGAAAGATGAAAATTAAACTTACTTTTTATTTATTTGATTCTCTTTAAGTTTCAGGTAAGCTCGATTTTGACTAAGATATATATACATGTATTTTTTTAACTATTTGTCAACTTTCATTGTTTTTGTTTTTGTTAAAATATATTCAGCAGCTGGGCTTGGTGGCTCATGCCTGTGATCTCAACACTTTGGGAGGCTGAGGCAGGTGGATCACTTGAGTCCAGGAGTTCAAGACCAGCCTGGGCAACATAGCAAAAACTCTGTCTCTACAAAAAAATACAAAAATTAGCTGGGTGTGGTAGCACTCTCTTGTAACAGTCCCAGATACTTGGGAGGCTGAGGTGGGAGGATCACCTGACCTCAGTCGGTTGAGGCTGCAGTGAGTTATGATCATGCCACTGCACTCTAGCCTGGGCAACACAGTGAAACCCTGTCTCAAAAAAAAAAAAAATCACATTCAAGTATATTACACATGCATTTTATATAATTCATGAATTTCAGGAAAGCTGCATGTAAATCTTTTTTTTAAACTAAATCATGTTAAAGACACTCAAAAAGTTAACTGAAATTCTATGGTGACTTCTTTTATAAAATACTAATTTTTGGCCGGGCGCGGTGGTGGCTCACACCTGTAATCCTAGCACTTTGGGAGGCCAAGGCAGGCGGATCATGAGGTCAGGAATTTGAGACCAGCCTGACCAACATGGTGAAACCCCATCTCTACAAAAAATACAAAAATTAGCTGGGCGTGGTGGTGCACACCTGTAATCTCAGCTACTTAGGAGGCTCAGGCAGGAGAATCACTTGAACCCAGGAGGTGGAGGTTGCAGTGAGCCGAGATCACGCCACTGCACTTCTGCCTGGGGGACAGAGCGAGACTCCATCTCAAAAATATGTATATACTAATTTTTATCTTAGAAATATAGATCATTATGCATTGGGTTTTTTCAAAAGGGGGAACACTTTAGTGAACAATAGTTTACTTGACCTTTAGTTGGAAAAGAAAACTAATGGTGGATAATTTTCTGTGGCTATGAGAATTTGGTAGATTGAGAGAAAGGAAGAACATCAATACTGCATTTTTACTTGACATTTAACCTGTAGATCCTCCTAGAGGTTCGATGCCCCCAAGACATTCCAACACTGAGCTGTTTCTTCTTCAGGTCTTAAGCTTTGAAGACAAGCTATACCAGCACATCTAAAATCGGCCTCTGCATTTTTCTTAAACATGAGCTGTCCAGCTTAATCAAAACTAACTGCAAAACAGTGGGTGTACTGTTTGCAGTACAAATAGTGATTCATTTGGTCTTAAAAGAATCACTATTACTCTGTCATACTTTCAGAGATTTTCACCTAAGCATTTAAGTTGCAAACCACTACATATTTGTCCCATTAGTGACTAGTGGGCCTTAATTTTGGCATTCAAATTAGGGTAAAAAACCTTGGTTCTTGAAATGCTATAGAAAATAGATTGACGCCAGGCACAGTTGCTCACACTTGTAACGCCAGCACTTTCGGAGGCTGAGGCAGGCGGATCACTTGAGGTCAGGAGTTTGAGACCAGCCTGGTCAACATGGTGAAACCCAGTCTCTACTAAAAATACAAAAATAAAATAAAAGCCAGGCATGGTGGCAGGTGCCTGAAGTCCCAGCTATGTGGGAGGCTGAGACAGGAGAATTACTTGAACCCGGGAGGTAAAGGCTACAGTGAGCCTAGCTCGTGCCACTGCCACTCCAGTCTGGGCAACAGAACAAGGCGCTGTTTAAAAAAAAAAAAAAAAAAGCTTGAAATATCCTCCCCTTAAGATCACAATATTGTTACATGCTACCATTTGACCCACAACTGCTGTCTTAGGGCTGCTTGTTTACATATATATGTATTAAGACACTTTGGTCAAAACAATTTATTAAATGTCTTAAATTTCTGGAAATGTCCCTGAAAATACCATGAACTACTTCTAATACTGATAATTATGAATAAATGTAGCTGTTGATCACCTCAGATTTTCATACAAACTGAACTAAGTTAGGGTTTTATCATAGGGTACTTTTTGTTTCATTTAATGAAATTTTGATGTGTTGAACTGCTTTCCTGGTGTCAGAGAAACATGAGACCATCACTCAATAATGGAAATAAAAAGGCAGAGCAGACTACTGATCTTAATAAAAAGAAAATTATTTGCTGTATTGTAGATGTGCACTGTAATTTCCATGTTAAAGAGGCACTGCATTTTTAAGAAATAAAATCACACATCTTATTTTTTCATTTCTAAATGGATATTGAACTAAGCTCTGTAGGCAAACTTAGCTGCCTATTTTTCCAAATATGTTCAGAAGCACATCTGAAACATCAAACTGATTATCAGACAATAAAGTGCCTAATACTTTATTAAATAAAGGGGGACAAGATGATAGTGCAGATATCCTAGAAATATGCTTTAGAAGACACAGAAACATTGTTAAGTTGAATTTCATTAGTATCATGCAAATGTTCCCTTCCACCACCGACTATTAATGTGAAAAATGATATATAGCTAGCGTTTTTTAAAATATCAAATTCTCATTATCATGTTTTAGCCCCCCAAAATTACATTTTAGACTCTTACTTTCTCTCCCTCTCCCCTTTCTTTAGCTCTTGTTTTTGTCTTGCCAGAGAAGTGTAGCTAGTAAGGGAATGTTTCTTATTTGTGCCAAGGGACCATTGATGATGCTGTATAATGGCAAGATAGTATTTTGTAATAACTGCTTTTTTATATTTCTAATACAAATGAGCAAAGCTATGAAACCAATTTACTAGGTTTTTCTGCTCTGAACATTATTGTACGTGTTAATTCTTTCTAAACAGTGCCTGGCACATATTGCTTGCTATGAAAGTGTTAGCTGCTACTGCTACCATTTATTATTATTATTATTAAATATCCATTGGTTGAAAACCAAGTAGTCGGCTAAATCATACCTGCTACTGTACAAAATTTTGGGGAAAAGCTCAGAAAAATCATTTATCAATAAACAGTTTTGAGAACAAGAATTTATACTTTGGATATTTTAAAATTATTAAATGTTATTGAAACTTTATGCACCAAAACTGTATGAAATAATTTTGCAGAGTTGTGTTTCTATATTCTATGTAATTAAAGCTATTTTTATACTATATTGATAGTTTTAAATAAAACTGATTTGGAGGTTTGTTTGCAGTTGTATTGCCTTTTCATGCATTCATCCAACATGTATTTATTGCATATCTACCCTGTGCCAAGCGCTGATCTGGATGCAGAGGCTATAGCAATGAATAAAAGAGCTAAAAATTCCTGCCTTCGTGGAGTTTATGTTCCAATGGGAGAGGCATACCACAGACAAGATAAGTAAGTAAAATATGTAAATGCTAAGAGAAAAAATCATGAAGCAAGAGAAGGGGATATAAGATGTGGCAGACAGGGTGACCAAGGAAAGGGTTGCTGAGGTGACTGCAGACCTGAAGTGAGGAAACTAATCATGCTGATTTCTCCGGAGAGCAAAGTGAACAGAACAAAGGTCCAGAGACTACACTTTTAATATTAACATAAATCACTAGAATTTTTTTTCCTTCCCTTACCAGTAAGTAAAATCAATACAGTAAATTACTCATTTTCAGCTCCGACCTATTGAAGAGTTGATTTAGTGCTCTTAACAAGGTTAAAAAGCTATTGGGCACAGTGGCTTACTACTGTAATCCCAGCACTTTGAAAGGCTGAGGCGGAAGGAATGCTTGAGTCCATGAGTTCAAGACAAGCTTGGGTTTGTCTTGATAGGGAGACCCCATCTCCACAAAAAATTTTAAAAATTAGCTGGATATGGTGGTCTTTGCCTGTAGTCCTAGCTACTTGGGAAGCTGAGGTGGGAGAATCACATGAGCCCAGGACTTCAAGGCTTCAGTGTGCCATGATCTTGCCATTACACTCCAGTCTGGGTGCAGAGTGAGACCCCGTCTCAACAAAAACTTTTTTAAAAGGTTACAAAACTACATTTCTAAGTTGGTACTTTCAGTTTTGTCTGTCTTCTACTGATGAATACATGTCAGAAATAAGTTTGATATCATAAAGGAATATGATATAAACATTGGCAACTATCAAATCAAATGTTAGAGGAGGGTAGAAAGAGAAAATTGCCCTGGGGAGCCGCAGAACACTTCCTTTCTGTCCTCGGAGATGGTTCCTTTGACCTTTCTTGGCATCTTAAAAAGACACTCTTACCTGTAGTGATTCAAGTAATTTCCCCCTTAAATTTCTCCCTATGTGCCTGATAATGCTTCAAATTCCCTTGAAGGAGAATGAAACCTTTCATTTTTCAGATGTTTGCTAATAAAAAGCCAATTGTTTATTGAATTTACAATGAATTTGACAAAGGATTTTGAAGTCAATGCAATGGAAAGACTTTGTTTTGTTTAAGCCTAGGAATTAATTAATGCTTTAGACACATTAATCTGGCTGCTGCGTGTGAAAGAGAGAAACAGAGATTTGAGTTGAAAAACCCAGTTAAGAGCTGAATAAGCCGGTCGGGTGCGGTAGCTCACGCCTGTAATCCCAGCACTTTGGGAGGCCAAGGCGGGTGGATCACTTGAGGTCAGGAGTTTGAGACCAGCTTGGCCAACATGGTGAAACCCTGTCTCCACTAAAAATACAAAACTTAGCTGGGTGTTATGGTAGATGCCTATAATCCCAGCTATTTGGGAGGCAGAGGCAGGAGAATTGCTTGAAACCCGGGTTCCAGTGAGCCAATATTGCACCACTGAATTCCAGCCTGGGCAACAGAGCGAGACTCTGTCTCAAAAAAAAGTTGAATAAGCCACCATGGAAAGGAAGTAGCACCAAACATATGATATCAGTAGGACTTGCCAATTGATTTTATGTGAGGTAATCAAAATATTGACAACATTCCTGGTCTGGAATCCTGACCTAAATGGTTTTTTTACTAGTGACAAGTACTAGTAGAAGGATTATAACACACTTAAGACAAAGGAAAAATTAGAACCTAACATTCAAAAAAAGCTAAAAACTCATCTCACATTTTATAGACGTGTTGTAAGGCTCTGCAGGTCCTACAGAGTAAGAGGTGATAAGACGGGATCTCCATTTATTTAAAACCACCAAACAAGCTGTAAAAAGGGATATATTAAATGTTATTATAGAAGGATCTCCACGATATATTAAGTGAAAAAAGTGAGGTGGAACAAAAAGACAAATGTTATGTACAGGCTAGATGTACCTCTACTGAGTATTTTTGCCAAAAGAAGTCAAACCTGAATCTGCCAACCGCCTCTAAATGAGTTCTCAAAGTGCAGTGTGGAAAACCCCTCTGTGTCACAGAGACAGGAACACCGTGAGGTCAAAGGTATTTTCTTAAACGATACTATTATTTGCCTTTTTCACTTTCATTCTGTCCTGAATAAACTGGAGTTTTCAGTGGCTACATATGTGATATTGCAACAGACTGAATGCAAAAGCAGTAATGTGAATCTAGCTGCCTTTTATTAAGCCAGACATTCGAGATTCAAAAATATAAAACAATACTATTTTTCTACTACATTTTTTATTTAAAAGTTTTACTTATACTATCCTGTAATGGATTATTTTTATTTTAAATGAATTAAATGTTTTTAAATTGTGTTTTAATTTCTGAGTGGTAAATGCCAATATACATAACAAAAACAGAAGGTTCATTGTGTCTTCAATAATTTTTTTTAAGAGACAGGGCCCTGCTCTGTTGCCCAGGCTGGAGTGCAGTGGTGAGATCATAGCTCACGCAGCCTCCAACTCCTGGGATCAAGCAATCCTCCTGTCTCAGCCTCCTGAGTAGCTATACTTAGGACTACAGGCTTGTGCAGCCATGCCCAGCTTTTTTTTTTTTTTTTTTTGTAAAGGAGGGGTCTCACTATGTTGCCCAGGCTGGACTTGGCCCAAAGTTTTGGGATTACTGGTACCTGGCCTGCAATAATTTTTCAGTGAATAAAGAGGGGTCCCACAGTTGAAAAGTTTGTGAACTACTCTTCTAGATAGGTCATTGGCCCTCAACCCTAGAATTAGAATTACTTCAAACATTAGAATTACCTGGAGAATTTAAATACTGATGCCAGGCCTCACTTCTAGACGTCCTGATTTAATGGGCAGGGCCTAATCCCAAGCATCAATTTGAAAAACAAAACAAAACACCACTCATCCCTTTGAATGTGCAGTCTGGATTGAGAACCACTGCTCTGGATATTATCAATTTAAATACAATATGAAAAAGAAGAACATGTATTATGCTATGGGGGCACAATCAGCAAAACGACACAGAAAGTGACTAGACAAAGGATCCCTGCTTAATTAAAAGAACGGATTAAAGCAATTTCCAAGGGAATTTGAAGGATTAACAGGCACATAGGGAGAAATTTAAGGGGAACATTACTTGAATCACACTACAAATAAGACTGTCTTTTTTAAGATGCCAAGAAAGGTCAAAGGAACCATCTCTGGTCAAAGAGAACATAACAGATTAAAGCGATTAAGAAAATGAAGGGGATAATACTGGTAACTAAACTAAATTCTGGCCAGTGGCTCACGCCTGTAATCCCAGCACTTTGGGAGGCCGAGGCGGGTGGCTCACAAGGTCAGGAGATCGAGACTATCCTGGCTAACAAGGTGAAACCCCGTCTCTACTAAAAATACAAAATAATTAGCCTGGTGTGGTGGCAGGTGCCTGTAGTCCCACCTACTCTGGAGGCTGAGCAAGGAGAATGGCAAGAACCCAGCAGGAGGAGGTTGCAGTGAGCCGAGATGGCGCCACTGCACTCCAGCCTGGGTGACTATGTCTCCAAAAAAAATAAACAAATAAAAAATAAAAATAAAAAACTAAATTCTGTTAATCTCACACCGCTGCTTGACTGCTCTGGCCTAGTCTCAGCTACTAAATTTCTTTATACAGAACTGGCTCTCCTGGGTCCCTCCACTCACTTTTCCTGCTCGGTGCTCACCGCCTCCGGACCCCTCCCTCATCAGAAAGCCCAGGCTCCGCTAGTAGAAGTGCGCAGGCGTCACCGCGCATCCAGAAGCCACGTGTCAGGAGTCACGTGCCAGGCATCACGTGTCAGGCGCCACGTGTCAGGCGCCTAGTGGCTGGAGGCCGTTGGAGCGCCTGCGCAGCTTTTCCGAATGCCCCACGCCGGCGCGCAGCTCTCCCAGCGTCCCAAGAGCCACTTTCTCGCCAGGACGATGCTACAGCGGTTTTCAGCTTCCCTTCATCGTCGCTCCCACACTCATTTTTAGCCACTGCTGCCGGTTTTTATATCCTTCTCCATCATGCATCGTGAGCCTCCGAAGAAGAAGGCAGAAAAGCGTCTGTTTGACGCCTCGTCTTTCGGGAAGGACCTTCTGGCCGGTGGAGTCGCGGCAGCTGTGTCCAAGACAGCAGTGGCGCCCATCGAGCGGGTGAAGCTGCTGCTGCAAGTGCAGGCGTCGTCGAAGCAGATCAGCCCGGAGGCGCGGTACAAAGGCATGGTGGACTGCCTGGTGCGGATTCCTCGCGAGCAGGGTGCGTAAAGGCAGGCCGCCCCGTCAGCCTCTCCCGGCGCCCCCATTAGCTTCCCAGAGAAGAGGGGTGGCTGGGAGGGGCACGATTGTGGGCCCCACAACCATGATTACAGCTGTCGGTAATGAATTTCCTTCTTACCCTTCCAGAATTTAGTTTCTGAACCTAACAGGCTCTGCTTTTCCAGGGCTGCCTTGGTCCTGACCAAGTCCTGGTACAGGGGAAACCACTGCCTTATCTTTATCTAATCTGCTGCAGCGCGATTTACACCTTGGTGCACCTGTACCAGGTCCAGAAGGAAAGTGGTTGACCTCCCAGGATTGAGGGAGATGCCCTTAGGCACTCTGCTATAACTAGTGTTGTAAGTTGCTTAAATATTTGTTGGTATAATCACCCCACTATGCTCCAGCGTTGGCAACAGAGCGAGACCTTGTCTCAAAAACTGTATGTGTATTTGTTGAAATAGTACGTCTAAGAGAAGTACAAATATGGAAGCACCGGGGCCTCCCAGTACTCTGAAACCTATTAATGAAAAGAGGTTCTGCTTATTCTTGAACTACTGAAGACCAAGGAGGCACTTCGTTCTGCCCAAAATTCAAGGGGACGCTAAAACACACACACACACACACACACACTTCGTTCTGCCCAAAATTCAAGGGGACGCTAAAACACACACACACACACACACACCCCCTCAGTCATCAAGATAAAAAGTATTTTAAGGCCAGGTGCGGTGGCTCGCGCCTATAATCCTAGCACTTTGAAAGGTCGAGGCAGGCAAATCACTTGAACTCGAGCTCAAGAGTTCTAGACGAGCCTGGCTAACATGTTGAAACTCCGTCTCTACTAAATATACAAAAATTAGCCGGGCATGGTGGCGCACGCCTGTAGTCCCAACTACTTGGGGGACACGATGCGGGGGTTTCAGGGAGCCCAGATGGCGCCACCTCACTCCAGACTGGATGACGGAGTGAGACCCTGTCTCAGAAAAACAAAACTTTAGGGTCCTTCCCTTTCCGAAGCCCCTTTCTTTCACTAGAGAGAGAGCTGTTCTCTTTTCTCTTTATTTTGTCTGTTAAACCTCCACTCCTAAAAACAGAAAAAAAAAAAAAAAAATCTTTGAACTATTTTAATACAATCTTTTAAAAAATCAAGTCATGAAAAAAAATTCATAACCAACACAATATATACAAGTTTAAAACAAAGATGGGATCAGTATTACCAGCTTTTCTTTTTGCATCAAGTGCTGTCCTTATTTAAAATTTCATTTTGTTCATCATGAGTTTTTTCTATTAATATTGGAATGATTTAAAGGAATAAATAACAAAAGTGCTTGTGAGCCATAGCTGCAAAATGGCTCCCAAGTTAGCTAAAGGGATAAGTTTATCAGATATTTTTCATAATCCACCCATATAGTTGGGTTTAATAGAAAAATCTGTATGATCTTTTAAAAAGAAATAGACCTATTTATTGTGTATTCTCAACAAGAAATGAAGTGGCTTCAACTCCAGCGCAGACCTTTCTTTTAGTCCTGTTCTAGGGCCAGATAATGTCCCATTCAAAAAAGCACCTTGTCCCTGGGAATGCTAGGGATGTGGTTACAACTCTTCCAGACCTGTGGCATGGAGTAAATGGGGTAAGGGGTAGAAACTTAATGCATCGTCTGGGAGCTAAGCTCGGATCTTTCATAGTTTGCCTCTCTTCACTCTTTCATTTAATTAAAGCAAGCTTCTCCTTTCGCCTGAGATTTTTTCAGGAAAAGCAAGGAACCTGTCTCTTCTTCATTTATATTCTAAGACTTCTGAAGAGAAGTAGGGGCCTGTTATTGGCTTTTCTGCTTTAAATATTTTGTCAGGTAAAATGAAGTATTCTGATCAGTTAGAGCTGACTAGTGCTAATTTATTTTATATTTTAAATGTTTTTCACAATATTTAAACCTAAACATATTCAGTATGGCTCTTGTAAGTTCATGTCATTCTCAAATTTATCCTGGTCCCTGCTTTCTTTACCTTCCAAGATGAGAGCATCATTAAGTAGAACTTGAAGATGTTTTCTGTTATATATAAAGCTTTATGAAGGTACCATGGTGTATCCTATGCTAAGAGATCAGTAATTTACAACAAGGATACTATTGCCATCTAGAGGCAATTTTGGAAACTTGTGGGGCAATTTTTTTTATTTAGCACAAAGATAGAGGGTTGTAATCGTACATTACAATGATATGAAAGGCAAGGGCCAGGGATGTTAAACATCCTGCTGCTATATCCCAGCCAGTCATACACAGTGAAGATTTATCCTGCAACCTGAATGACTTTTAGATCTCCCCTTGCATATTCGTGTAGCAGTGAAACATGTTTATGATTCTCTAAGCCTAGAAATAACTTAACTCTGATTTCCTTATAAACACACATTGTCTGGGGCATGGTTTTAGTATACACTGATTCCAGTAATGCAGCTACCATATAAGGAAGTAGAGGAAAGATTGTACTTTCTTCTCTTCAGAAGTTTACTAAGAGTTGTTCATGGTTGCAAAAACTCATGTCAGCAACTCTGCTTATAGTATTTGGTCATTTATACAGGTTGAGTATCCGAAAAGCTTGGGACCAAAAGTTTTGGATTTTTTTATTTTTTCAGATTTTAGAATATTCGCATTATATTTACCAGATGAGCATCCCTAATTTAAAATCCAAAATGCTCTAATAAGCATTTCCTGTGCCCATCATGTCAGTGCTCAAAAAGTTTCAGATTTTGGAGAATTTTGGATTTTTGGATTAGTGATGCTCAACCTGTATCTGTATTTGTAGCTGTTGAATCTATGATGATTGTATGTGTACTTGTACACGTACTTATTTGACATATTTCAAAATGTCAATATGCAGTTAATTACAAATTATTCTTTAAAAGTAGAAGCAAGCTTGACATATTTTGGTATGGTCATGACCTACCAACTTACTTATTTTAAAACATAAATTTCTTGCAATTTGCCTTCTCTTTCTTCTTTGAAAGTCAAGGCACATGCCCATCTCAGGTGTTCTGAAGATTGTTTTTATGTTTTCTCTAATTTTATTCACAACGTGTCCTTTCTTTAGGCAATGTGAAATGAGCTGGAGGAAGAGACATGAACTCAGAATTCACATATAGATGCTCTCTAGTTTCTTACCTTATCTCTGCTTTCTTTCCATTACAAGGATAGATCTCTGTATTCTTGCCTTGAGTATAGCTTTAAATATTGCTTTGAGTGTGTTTTGACACTTTTATAAGCTTTTCTTGGCTTATGAAAACTTCTGGATTTATCCTTATGTTATTCTTAAAGATTTATTATATTCTTTAGTTGGTTCTATCACCTTCCAGCTTTGTATGTGTACTTCTATTTAACGCTGTTTAAACCTTTATTATGCAAATAATGCATAATTATTGTAGAAAATTAGCAAATACAAAGAAGCAAAAAAAAAAATAACATCACTGCTAAAGTCACCATAGTTAACATTTTGGTTTTTCACTGAGCAAAATATGCATATGTAAATATGTGTTTAATCAAAGAAACTGTCTTATTAGTATATTGTAAGTGTAGCCTTTTAAAGAACTGATCTTCTGGGTGTGGTGGCTCATGCCTGTAATCCCAGCACTTTGGGAGGCAGAGGTGGGCAGATCACTTGAGGCCAGGAGTTCAAGATCAGCCTGGCCGAGATGGTGAAACCCCATCTCTACTAAAAATGCAAAAATTAGCTGGGCATGGTGGCGCATACTTGTAGTCCCAGTTACCTGGGAAGCTGAAGCACAAGAATCACTTGAACCTGGGAGGCACAGTCTTCAGTGAGTCAAGACTGTGCCACTGCACTCCAGCCTGGGTGACAGAGCAAGACTGTCTCAAAAAAAAAAAAAAAAAAGATCCATACAGTCTCATTGTTACAAGCCTATCAGAACTCTTCTCTTTTAGGAGCTCATGTCATGAGTTTATCAGCTTTCATCTAAGCGTTTCCCAAACCCATTTTTCTGAAGACTTAGAACAGTGAGTTTTTTAAATATCCTATGGTCCATCTTGAAGATGCTATTTTGGAGTATGGGAAGAAAATATTAGGTATTTTACTTATATGTACTTTAAGTAAAATACAAAATAAATTTTACTGATATTTAATATATAAATTGGCATTGTCACCTATGCTTGGGCCCAATGTCAGTTACATATCACAGGACATTAAGGGATCCTGAAAAAACGAGTGGGAGTTATACAGGGTAGAGGGAATGACAAGCACCCTTCCTCAAGAATATATTATTGGTTATGTTTGCCCAATTAAGTGAATTTATAGATTCTGTTATCAGGTTTTAACTAAATCCTCAAAACATGGACAAAACTTTGAAAAAGATTCTGCCATGAAAACCAAATCAAGGATAACACCAGTATCAAATGATGAACCACAAGAAAAAGACATAGCTGATGCCATTTACTCCAAGCAATGGCACTGATGCCATTTACTCCAAGAAATGGCGTATTATTTCATCATTCAGATTATATTCAGTGTAGAAACAATGACAGTCTAATTGGACCTGAGACAAGAAGAGTATTTGAAATATAGATTCCTATATACTGTTCTTAAAAATGAACCGCACCCTAGCAGTGCCTTGAGATAATAGCAAATGATGGTGTGAAAACATCATAATTAGCAAGATATTTGAAAATATTGTTTTTCATCTTTTAAATAAATATTTAACTTTGCTCTAGTATCATCTAACATTCAAGTTTCCGTAACAACGCTATCAAAATAGCCTTTTATTATTTCCAATCTTCATATATTGTTTTTTTCTTTACAGTTTTTTATTGCTAACAGACATAGTTATTTGCTACCTATCTCCCTGGTCCCTCCCTCTTAAGATGTAAGCTCCGTAAGATCAGGAACATTGTTCCTAGTGCTATCTCCAGCAGGCACAAAATGTCTGCTGTGGAGGAGGTACCAAATAAAAGTTTTTAAATGAAAAATCTTTATCTCATTCTTTAATTTATATTT